CAATGGATAAGGCGCTGGTTTACGAAACCAGAGAATCTGGGTTCGATCCTCATTGGAGTTGTCCATATCAATTAATTTTCATTTTGAAAATGGATCAAGCCGCCCAAGCCCTATGGTCCAATGGATAAGACGTTGGTATATGAAACCAAAGATTCTGGGTTCGATCCCAAATGGATTCATTTTAAAAATGGATAAAGGAATTGATAAAGCCGCCCAAGCCATATGATCATATGACTCTATGGCCCAATGGATAATGTGCTCGTTTACGAAACCTGGGGTCGTCCTTTGATTTTGAAAATGGATAAAGGAATTGATCAAGCTGGCTACAGTCGTACTACGTATCAATTAATTTTCATTTTAAAAATGGATAAAGGAATTGATCAAGCTGGCTACAGTCGTACTACGTATCAATTAATTTTCATTTTGAAAATGGATAAAGGAATTGATCAAGCCGCCCAAGTGCTGGTTTATGAAACCAAAGACTCTGGTTAGATCTCCAATTGGGTCGTCCATATCAATTAATTTTCATTTTGAAAATGGATAAAGGAATTGATCAAGCCACGAAACCAGAGACTTTGGGTTCGATCCCCAATGGGTAAGGCGCCCAAGCCCTATTGATGACTACATGTCTCAATGGATAAGACATTGGTTTACGAAACCAGAGTCGATCCCTAGTGGGGTCATAATTATCAATTAATTTTCATTTTGTAAATGGATAAAGGAATTGAAAAGCCGCCCAAGACCTAATGCACGACTCCATGGCTCAATGGATAAGTCGCTGGTCCAATCCCTAGTGGGGTCGTTCACATCAATTAATTTTCATTTTGAAAATAGATAAAAGAATTGATCAAGCCGCCCAAATCTTATTGTATGACTCCATGTCTCAATGGATAAGGCGCTAGTCTATGAAACCTGGTTTCAATCCCCATTAAGGTTGTAATTATCAATTAATTTACATTTTATAAATGGATAAAGGAATTGATCTAGCCGCCCAAGACCTATTGCACGACTTCATGGCCTAATGGATAAGGCTCTGGTCTACGAAACCAGAGACTCTGGGCAGAGTTCAATCCCTAGTTGGCTTGTCCATATTAATTAATTTTCATTTTGCCCAAGCCCTACGGTCGTACAGACTCCATGTTTCAATCTCTGGTTTCTTCTCTGGGTTTGATCCCCAATGGAGTCGTCCATATCAATTAATTTTCATTTTGAAAATGGATAAAGGAATTGATCAAGCCGCCCAAGCCATACAATTGTATGACTCCATGGCCCAATGGATAAGGCGTTGGTCTACGAAACCAAAGATTCTAGGTTTGATCCCCGGTGGAGTCATCCATAACAAATAATTTTCATTTTATAAATGGATAAAGGAATTGATCAAGCCGCCCAAGCCCTATTCCATGAACCAAAGTTCAATTCCCCGTTCAATTCCCCGTGGAGTCATCCATAACAAATAATTTTCATTTTGTAAATGGATAAAGGAATTGATCAAGCCGCCCAAGCCCTATTGCATGACTCCATGGCCCAATGGATAAGGTGTTGGTCTACGAAACCAAAGATTCTGGGTTCGATCCCCAGTGGAGTCGTCCATAACAAATAATTTTCATTTTGTAAATGGATAAAGGAATTGATCAAGCCGCCCAAGCCCTATTGCATGACTCCATGGCCCAATGGATAAGGCGTTGGTCTACGAAACCCAAAATTTTGGGTTCAATTCCCAGTGGAATTGATCAAGCCTTATTGCACGACTCTATGGCCCAATGGATAAGGCGTTGGTTTACGAAACCAAAGATTCTGGGTTTGATCCCCAGTGGAGTCGTCCATACAAGCCCTATTGCATGACTCCATGGCCCAATGGATAACGAAACCAAAGAGATTCTGGGTTCAATTCCCAGTGGAGTCGTCCGTAACAAATAATTTTCATTTTGTAAATGGATAAAGGAATTGATCAAGGCGCCCAAGCCTTATTGCATGACTCCATGGCCCAATGGATAAGGCGTTGGTCTACGAAACCAAAGATTCTGGGTTCAATTCCCAGTGGAGTCGTCCCTATCAATTAATTTTCATTTTGTAAATGTATAAAGGAATTGATCAAGGCGCCCAAGCCTTATTGCATGACTCCATGGCCCAATGGATAAGGCGTTGGTCTACGAAACCAAAGATTCTGGGTTCNCCATGGCCCAATGGATAAGGTGTTGGTCTACGAAACCAAAGATTCTGGGTTTGATCCCCAGTGGAGTCGTCCATACAAGCCCTATTGCATGACTCCATGGCCCAATGGATAAGGTGTTGGTCTACGAAACCAAAGATTCTGGGTTTGATCCCCAGTGGAGTCGTCCATACAAGCCCTATTGCATGACTCCATGGCCCAATGGATAAGGTGTTGGTCTACGAAACCAAAGATTCTGGGTTTGATCCCCAGTGGAGTCGTCCATACAAGCCCTATTGCATGACTCCATGGCCCAATGGATAAGGTGTTGGTCTACGAAACCAAAGATTCTGGGTTTGATCCCCAGTGGAGTCGTCCATACAAGCCCTATTGCATGACTCCATGGCCCAATGGATAAGGTGTTGGTCTACGAAACCAAAGATTCTGGGTTTGATCCCCAGTGGAGTCGTCCATACAAGCCCTATTGCATGACTCCATGGCCCAATGGATAAGGTGTTGGTCTACGAAACCAAAGATTCTGGGTTTGATCCCCAGTGGAGTCGTCCATAACAAATAATTTTCATTTTGTAAATGGATAAAGGAATTGATCAAGGCGCCCAAGCCTTATTGCATGACTCCATGGCCCAATGGATAAGGCGTTGGTCTACGAAACCAAAGATTTTGGGTTCAATTCCCAGTGGAGTCGTCCCTATCAATTAATTTTCATTTTGTAAATGTATAAAGGAATTGATCAAGCCGCCCAAGCCCTATTGCACGATTCCATGGCCCAATGGATAAGGCGTTGGTCTACGAAACCAAAGATTTTGGGTTCGATCCCCAGTGGAGTCGTCCATAACAAATAATTTTCATTTTGTAAATGGATAAAGGTATTGATCAAGCCGCCCAAGCCCTATTGTATGACTCCATGGCCCAATAGATAAGGCGTTGGTCTACAAAACCAAAGATGTTCAATCTGGAGTTGTCCATATCAAATAATTTTCATTTTGTAAATGGATAAAGGAACTGATCAAGCCGCCCAAGCCCTATTGCATGACTCCATGTCCCAATGGATAAGGTGTTGGTCTNCGAAACCAAAGATTTTGGGTTTGATTCCCAATGGAGTCGTCCATATCAATTAATTTTCATTTTGTTAATTTTCATTTTGTAAATGGATAAAGGAATTGATCAAGCCGCCCAAGCCCTGTTGCATGACTCCATGGCCCAATGGATAAGGCGTTAGTCTACAAAACCAAAGATTCTGAGTTCGATCTCTAGTGGAGTCGTCCATATCAACTAATTTTCATTTTGAAAATGGATAAAGGAATTGATCAAGCCGCCCAAGCCCTATCGACTCCGAAACCAGAGACTCTGGGTTCGATCCCTACTGAATAAAGGAATTGATCAAGCCGCCCAAGCCCTATTGCATGACTCCATGGCCCAATGGATAAGGTGTTGGTCTACGAAACCAAAGATTCTGGGTTCAATCCCCAGTGGAGTCGTCCATATCAATTAATTTTCATTTTGTAAATGGATAAAGGAATTGATCAAGCCACCCAAGCCCTATTGCACGACTCCATGGCCCAATGGATAAGGCGTTTGGTCTACGAAACCAAAGATTCTGGGTTTGATCCCCAATGAAGTAGTCCATATCAATTAATTTTCATTTTGAAAATGGATAAAGGAATTGATCAAGTCGCCCAAGTCCTATGTACCACTCCTTGGCCCAATGGATAAGGTGCTAGTCTACGAAACTAGAGATTCTGGCTCTGGGTTTGATCCCTAGTGAAATCGTTCATATCAATTAATTTTTGTTTTGAAAATGGACAAGGGAATTGAATGGGCCGACTCCATGGACTAATGGATAAGACGCGGGTTCGATCCCTAGTAGAATCATCTCGTTCAAATAATTTTTCTTTGGAAAAAGGAGGAAAGAAACGACGTTGTTCTCATCAGTGAAGATTCTGCGCTGGTCAAAACAGAATGCGAGATTCTTGGTTCGATCCCCATTGGAGTCATTTTTAATCCATTATTTTTCTTTTAAAATGGGGGGAAACAAGCGGACGTCGTTCTCATCGCGAAAGATTCGGTCAATGTGCCGGCCAAGGCGGAACCAGAAGTTCTGGGTTCGATTAAAGAAACTATCTTGACTTGACCGGTCGCGAAAGATTCTGTCAATGCGCCGGCTAAGGCGGAACCAGAAATTCTGGGTTCGATTAAAGAAACTATCTTGACTTGACCGGTCGCGAAAGATTCTGTCAATGCGCCGGCCAAGGCGGAACCAGAAATTCTGGGTTCGATTAAAGAAACTATCTTGACTTGACCGACCGAGGTTTACCGTCGTACGACTCCATGGCCCAATGGATAAGGCGATGGGGATCCATATGACTGCTTCTTCTCTTCTTTAACCATTAACATATAACTCTCTTTCTTTTTCTTTATTAATTCTTGGCTGGCTCGTAGGTTAGTTAAAGAATTCACCTCAAGATGAATTCTTGGCTTTGTCAATTAATTTTCATTATTGAAATTGAATAAAGAAATTGAACATGCTCACAAGCCATATGATCGTACATGGCCTAATGGATAAGGCACTGGTCTACGAATTCAGAGATTCTGGGTTTGTTTTTATCCATTGTTTTCCTTTTGAAAATGGACAAATGAACTAAACCCTCCGCCCAAGCCTAAGGAATTATAGCGACCGCCCAAGCCTCACGCTCGTACGACTCCATGGCCCAATGGATAAGGCGCTGGTCTACGAAACCAGAGATTCTGGGTTCGATCCCCAGTGGAGTCGTTTTATTTTTTTTATCAGCTTATTTTTCTTTGAAAATGGGGGAAGCAAACGACGTCGTTCTCCATGATATAAATTTCTCCGTCTTAGGCACATCACTAAAATTTCAGACATGCCAGTTCTATTTTCTCGACTGGGAAATTCCATCCCCTTCTCCGGCCTTTTCAGGTAATTCCTCAAAACTAGTTTCTAGAGATTCTCTTACTAGCGTTGTTTTGTTGAAAACTTTCTGTAACCTATAACTTTTGGACCAAGAAATGTCTATTCCAATGAATAATGTTACTGATGATTTGGTTTGCTTAGTAATACAATCGCGTCGGTCAAATTCTTGTTAATTTGTAATATTGATGTCATGGCGAGTGCCGGAATCGCAGTTTTATCATCATGTTTATGTGCATGTCTTTGTAAATTTGATTTTGGTGGCTTTGTTATTTCTTTTGCTTGAGAGATGCTAATTTCTAAATTGAAAAATTGTTGGTACTATGCTTATGCTGAATTAATGTGATTGAGGGTATCTTAATGCAAAATCTGATGGTAAGGGGCTCTAGAAGTGTTCTGTACAAACAGGTTTTGGTTAATGGAACAAACTTTTTATTGAACGAGGTCTGATTAGCTACTTTTTTCAAGTTAATTCTCTTTGATGTTTTTGTGGATGCTCTATTTCTGTGAACTAAAATTCTTGCATACTTGTGAATATTGATTTTAAGTTTAGATCAACTTTAACTCTTATATTAAGGAAAGTGCACAATAACCTTAACTTTACAGCCCACCTAATTACTTCTAATCGCAGTTTTGAAATACAGAAGCATAAAGTTGTTTTTTAGGACTACTCTTAATGTTTTTATTTCCCCGTATAGGCAACTGGAGCAAGAGATGGAAACTGTCATAAGGGTTTTGCAGCCTGGACCTTTGGGGATTATTGAACACAAGTTTTCTGCTGAGGAGATTCGCTGGGCACAAGCCACTGTTCGCGAAGCGGTAAATAACTGGCGAAGGAATACATGTATTGAAAAACAAAGTAGTATGTGAAGTAATCGTAGTTAGGAATTATACTGTTTCCATAGAGATTTTGAATGACATGTTGTGTAATTGCTTTATGAGTTTCTGAATAAAAATTAGATTAAATAGTGATATTCACTAAACTTGAAATAAAAATTCAACTCAAAAAGTATGATATTGATAAAAATAGTAAGCCTGCAGAGCATTTTACTTTCACTTGAAAAAACTTGTGTGGGTCTTCCAAACAAGGCGGGAATGGAGTAGGTTTGTGAGATCTCATATTGGTTGGAGAGGAAAACGAAGCATCCCTTATAAGGGTGTGGAAACCTCTCTCTAGTAGACGCGTTTTAAAACCTTGAGGGGAAGCCCGGAAGGGAAAACCCAAAGAGGACAATATCTGCTAGCGGTGGACTTGGGCCGTTACAAATGGTATCAGAGTCAGACACCGAACGGTGTGCCAGTGAGGACATTGGGCCTCAAAGGGGGTGGATTGTGAGATCCCACATTGGTTGGAGAGGGGAACGAAGCAACTCTTATAAGGGTGTGGAAACCTCTCTCTAGTAGACGCGTTTTAAAACCTTGAGGGGAAGTCTGGAAGGAAAAGCCCGAAGAGGACAATATCTGCTAGCAGTGGGCTTGGGCTGTTACTGGGAAGCAGCTACAGCTATAGCCTATAGTTGGTTATGTAGATTTTTTCCTCGGTAAATTCTACTAGTAACAGATTGTAGTGACTAAAAAGGATGCATTGGGGGAAGAGAGTCAGTAGAGTGCGATGCAAGGGAGGGAAGCAAATAGTCATTTAGTAGGAAAGAACTAGAGACTTCGGTCTTCATTTTGGAGAGCACCAGACCTCTTGAATGCATGGTAGTTTTGTAGCTCTTCTTTGTAAATTCAATACAATTATCAAATTCACTTCTCTAACTATATCAGAATTCTATATTGGACATTGAGCTAGCACATGAAGAACATTATTTGGTATCTACTTTCTTTCTCCCAAGTGTTCATCCATTGCGTCCTTTCATTTTTGGCTTTTCTTTTCTTTCTTTCTTCTTCTTTTTTTTTTTTTTTAATTTGAAAAAAATGCTTTTCTGCCCTATGAATATTGCTGTTATCTTTAGCCTGCCAATGGATATTGGTGTTATCCAAAGTAATCTTGAGTGATTGAAAGAAAAACATTGTCCTTAGCATTTGGTAGTGCTTTTAGTGTAAGAAGAAAATTTCTTACTGAAGTTGGAAAATCATGCTCCTTTTCCTTCTGTATTCAGTTTGTTCCCTTTGAGTGGTCTAGCGAAAATTTTAAGAACCTCATGACCGCACCTTGAGTTAATAATTTCATTGAAGAATTTAGATGTCTTACCTTGGACAAGAGGAGTTGTTTAGCTGAAGTTTGTTGGATAACAATAGTAGAAAGAGTTATAGTATGCTGCTTGAAGGATACAAGGCCAATGGCTAGAATCAACTTTTAGAGCTTATTACAGACTATCCAGGGAACAAACTTGTAGAGTCTCTTCACACGGATATGGAAATAACTTGGTTCTAGATCCCCATATCCTGACATGACCAAACCCTCCAATGCGTTCCGAACCTCAAACTCTAAGGGTTCACAAATCTTAGGACTCACAAAGCCCTAATTGTTCTAGGAAAGATCTAATGGCTTTGATACCATTGTTATTGTGAGGCCAAATATGAGAGAATTCAATTGGACAAACGACTGATAAGCTCTTAAATGTACATATATATTGTAACAATCCGTATGTGTTACATGAAGAACAAGAGGGCAAAAAGTGCTGCGGTTCTTAACTTTGAAAGTCAAAATAGAGTTGAGAGTCCCAAAACGAACCTACCAAAAACGAAAAAGAAAAAGTAGTAGAAGAAGACATGTATTATCATCAAATTTCTCAAAAGTTGTGTTGAAATTGCGGCTTTTGATTCAGAGCCATATAGCTCTGGCACTTATGAGCAATGGCATAAGCTCATTCCTGACCTGCAGGCTCATGAGCTCTTTGGCACCACCAATTAACTTCTGCCCAATGAACACAGCAGGCACACATGGCTGGCATCCTAGTTGAACCAGCAGTGCCTCAATCTGCTGCCCATTGGGTATCTCGTCAAGCTCATACACAGTAGGATTTGCCCCATAGCTTGATATAAGTGACTTTACTGTATAGCTCATTGAGCATTGGCTCCTGCTGAAGATCACTACTGGTTTCTCAGCTACCAACCCATTCACTGCATTTATATCCATGGCTCTTGGAAATGTAAGTCTTTCTGTTATGATAGAAGTTTTTGTTTTTCTTCTGTTAATGAGTTTAACGCTTCCATTTTGGTCTATTTATAATGATGTGGGATTTTATATCATGGGATTCTCTGTTCATTTTTCTTCAAGTTGGAATATCAGAATCTTTGCCTGGTTTTCCTTTTGATTTTGAGATTGATTAACAGCAGAAAGGAATATTAGTTTCAGGAAGCTGTGTGATATTTGATATTGACAAGGTACAGTCTCATGGAAAATGTAGACAGTTAATGCACAAAACAAAGTTAAAGGTATCATTCTGAAAGAATGTACGAGAGATTGGTGAAATTATGGAGACATTTCTTCTGCTTTTGGCCATTCTGATTATTGGAATTTACCATGTGTCGAAGTCTTAGGCATTTATTGTTCACATTTCATAATATTTGAACCACAACCAAAACTTACCCTTTCAGATATTGTCCTCTTTTGTACTTCTTGTAACAGCCCAAACCTATTCCACTTTGGACTTTCTCTTTCGGGTTTCCCTCAAAATTTTTAAAACATGTCTACTAGGGAGAGGTTTCCACACCCTTATAAAAAATGTTTCATTCTTCTCTCCAATCGATGTGGGATCTCACAATCCACCTTTTTCGGGGCCCAGCCTCCTCGCTGTCACTCATTTCTCTCTCCAATTAACGTGGTATTTCACACTTCTATTCTGTTTCTCTCTCCATATCCTTGTCATTTTCGTAGTACTGAACTTGGCTGTGCCTAACCCTTCTAGGAGCATCTGCTTGGCCGGAGATAAAAGCTTAAGGCTTATCCAATTTTTAAAAACTTATTGATTTTCCTTTTTTCCTGAGCAAGATTTGGCAGCCATTTCTAAGCAAAATAATTCAGGGAAAGGCTAAGGAAAGCCAGTGCTCGGATAAGAAAGATGCTTTGATGAAGTTATTCTTCCAGTATCTGCAAGAAGATCATCCTAGCAGTCATACATGAAGGAGTTGACATGTTAAAGGTCCCACCAAATGATCTTCTTCTTGCTCGCATTACCTCGTAAGTGCTTCGAATTACATTCCCACACGGATTTTCAGATGTGTAAAAATTTAGTCCATAAACTTTAGCAAATAACAATTTAGCCTTCATATTAAAGTTTAGTTCTTATAGTACAAAAAAAAAAAAAAAAAATGTTAAGATTTGATGAGATTTCTTACTTATGTAGATTGATAAATTGAGTTAGTAAAAATTGATACTTTATTTTGATATGATTTTTTACTTGTTAAGAACTATATTATTACGTACAAAAGAACTAAATGGTTACTTTATAGGGATCCAAATATGTTCTAAGCTCGGTGTAATAGTTGACCTTAAATTGAAACGAAAATTCAGCCAAAGAAGGGGTTACCAAATAATACTTAGCTGAGGGGACATTAGTTGCCCTTAAATTGCCTCTTGTTCCATTGAAAGGGCAAATGAAAATAGTCTGCAAATCTTTGAGCAAAAAATGATGAAAGATCAATAATAATGAGATTAGGAATAACAAAAATTTCCAGTTAAGGTGTGGAATCTTCTTGGACGAGAGATAGCCTCTCTCTACTTTGCCTTTTTCTTATCCCAAGAGCTTGATGTGAACATTTGTAACTTATATTATATTCTTGCCCTCAAGTCTTAGAGATAAGATATGTTTTCTTTAGCTTTTTTTATGAATAACAGTATCAACAACCTATAGTATGAATGATTAAGAGATTCCGTAATTTCACATCTTTCATACTTGCAAATCCATCGATTCGTTTCAAATTAAAAAATAGCAAATGTTCTTCGAGAGTGCTTTTACTGATACTTTAGATATCTTCACCTAAACAATACGAGGGTAAATCATAAACATTTTAAGATTTGATTAAAAAAACATTGATATTGAAACAGATAAGAAAATTCTATATCAAGTAGTGTTAGATCCCACATCAACTGGAAAGCGGAATGAAACATTCCTACATTCCTTATAAGGGTATGGAAAATTCTCCTTAATAGACACGTTTTAAAGCATTTTAAAATCGTGAAACTAACAACGATACGTAACAAGCTAAAACATATCATATCTAAGAGAAAATTGGCCCAATAAAAAACAACAAAATAGCACATGGAATAGTTGTAACTAAAATAACTTGCTTCAGCTAATTGAAGAAATCTGAGGAACGCTAAATATCTATGGAAGGAAACAAAAAGAACATTTTTAGCCAAAGTGGCCCTTCATGAGCGACATGATATGCCCCATTGGTCATACAGGAACCACAGAATTGTAGTGCTCCCCAAGTCCAAAGGCATGCTTATGGTATGACAGCCTAATACTTGAGTTTAGTACGCCGTCTGATTTGTACTCCTTTCCCATTTCCACATCAGGGAAGGATCCTGAAAATATTATGATATGTTTTCTAAGGCAATGGGTTAAAGCACCAAGTTCCAGCTGCCCTCCCCATGCCGCTGTGGATTCAACTTCCTTGCAGTAATTTTCAAACCTTTCGGACAGCGATTCGTTTGAATTACCTTCTACGACGTTTTCCGAGAGGAAAAATGGCATGTAATCGGTTGAATGGTCTCTCATGTAAGCCGCTACCATTTGACGAAGTTCTTGGTAATTGTATGGAGATGAACCTCCTGAAAGGAAGTCCATCTGGTTTTCGACTGCTCTGTAGAGGCAATGCCCATCTGGCTTGATTTCATTAACAGTCAAACCAAGAGGTCCAAGCTTCTTTTCCAATTGTTCATTCTCGATCATTCTATCACTCACAGTGTTACTCTGCTCCTCTTCAATTCTTCTGTCTCTTGCTGCTTCTTGTTGAGCCCTCTTCTCCCTCCGTTTTGTGCTTTTGCTTGGCTTTGAATGGTCGGATTGAGCTGTCAACGATACGCCAGCCACGGCCTTCACTAGGTTGTCGAGATTACTTCGTTCGTTTCCATTACTGCTACTATAGCCTAAGAACGCAAGTTCTTCATTATGTTTCTTTTTTAGCTTCGCAGAAAGTTGAGATATCTCTTCCTCCACCTGTTTTTTCTTCAATTTTTGTTCAGCTTTGCTACCTCTAGCCGCAGCCTTTTTAAGTTCCATTTCTTTATTCTGTAACTGTGATATCTCTTTCCTGCATGCAGATACAGTTATTGAAAAATAAAAATTCAACAAGCAATACAGACACAAAACGTTAATGACACCCTCCCCATTCTATTGAAGTCACGGTGGTAAACTGCAAAAGTAAATAATACCACCAATTGTACCAAAGGCATCAGTAAGTACACACGCTTTATTGTAGTAATTATATGGATTATACTAAAAGCTTTCGTTCGGAGGCGATTGAACATGGAAAAATATGCATATTTTAAGCATCTGAAGTTGAAATGGTTTGAGTCTGTCGCTCCTGATAGACTTAAAGAGCACAAAAATCTAGTATTTGTAAGATTACAAGAATCAAGTTGAGGACCGGATCTTGAAATGTTTTTAATACATTGCCCCCCTAGATGACTAATATCTTGAAGTTCTAATGAGCATTTTAAAACTTCATGAAAATCAAGCTGAACCTATATATCAAGTAACCAACTCTTTGTGGGGTGAAAACAAACAAAAATATACATATTTTTCTAATTCAATTACATTAAACAACAGTGGCAGCAAACATTGAAACAACAGGCTATACTCGAAACTGAGGGAAAAAAAATGATAGAAAAGAAGCCAAGATGCAAGGCGAAGTGTCAAATTTCTATTTACCTGTGCCTAGAAAGAATTTCATCACGAGTTTCATGATTCTCTTGAGATACTTTATCTGTGATAGTTTCAGATGATGCATCCTCCATATTCCTGATATAAAAGCCAGAAACAGAATACGTAACTCATCAAAAGCTTCAATTCAACTTCTCTAGTTAAAGGGCTGATTAGTCTAAAAAATATTACTTCAACAAGTGAATTCTCCTCACAATTTATCAGCATGAATTTAATGTTATTAGTACTCATAAATGTGGAAATTGATGCCTTGTATGGGGGGGGGNGGGGGGGGGGGGGGGGGGGGGGGGGGGGGGGGGGGGGGGGGGGGGGGGGGGGGGGGGGGGGGGGGGGGGGGGGGGGGGGGGGGGGGGGGGGGGGGGGGGGGGGGGGGGGGGGGGGGGGGGGGGGGGGGGGGGGGAATTGTTGATGGATTTTTTTCGAATGTAATTAAGAACTAAAAACTTGTGGGAAGCAGGGCCGATTAAGAATTAACAATTGATGAACCGCTCCTTTGATGTTATGAATGTTTCCCTCAACATTGCTCACAAAGAAAATTGGAGAAGTACCAATTAGAAACTGTTTCAATTAGAAATTATAGTGCGCTGAAGTTGCAACCATTCCCTAGTACCTACAGAGAAGCCGGCAATAGAAGGCAATACAACGTTTTAGATAGTATATAACTCCGAGTAGGAAGAACTAATAACTATCACAACTCTCTATAGAATAGTTTGAGGTATTTCATGTCTATCTGACGTAGACATAATTTTGCCGAAACGTTATATTCTTAAGAAATACAATAATAAGACAATACATCAGACCCACATCTTAAGGCCTGACTTTAATTACCAATCTCAAATCCCCTCCCCTCCCACTTAACAAAATGAATAACCACTCTCACTCGCCCCTTCCCACATTATTTTGAGCGAAAATCTTCAGCAAAGCCTTAAAATACTTCCATACGAACAAATATAATTGAAGCCAAGAAAATGTTCTGGAACCAGAAGATAACGAAACACTAGGAACAAAGATCCATGGATTCCAACGTCAACGTCTTTAGACTTTCAATAAGGATTTATGAAATCTAAGTACAGGTAAAGAGACTTCAGGAGAATGGATTAAGATAAAATCCCACGAGTTCCTTGATCTTGACACTAAATGGAGTGGAGTTGGTTGTTTTGAGATTGTCGAGATAGAGGCAAGTTAGTCAGTCAGATGCTTAAGAAGAGCACAATGTGTCCTTCAATGAACAATTTAATGAAATAAAACAACAACCAAAAAATTTCTCAAACCAGTGGCAACATGATCTAAAGAATGTCTTATCATACTTTTTTCACATGTCGTAAAACTACAACCACGATCAAGAACCGACTCCAAATATTAGAGGCAAAACTCATTTCGTCAATTTCCACTAACATTGCCAACAGCCAACCAAAATACAAAAACATGAAAATAAAAATTCAAATTTCCCTCTGTTTTGAGATAAAGACGCCAGGGATTGGGAGACTGTAATTAGAAACAAATCACATAATGGATTCAGAAGCCATACTTTACCTCGGCAACTATCTTCTCCTCCAAGATTAACTTAATTAACGACCCACACGAAGCTTCCTTCTTTGGCTATCAACAAATTCCCGTCAAATCGAATACGAAGCGCAGTGCATCAACAGCTAGGGCTAGCCCGAACAGAAGAATAAAGGAAGAAGAAACGGAACTGAGATACCTAGGGCATTGGGACGAGACGAACCAAGACAAATGTCTCTTCACCTTGAAGTGAGACTGAGCACAATTGTTAAAGATTCGCCTTAGAGTTCCCGAATAATACGAAAATGCCACTGGTTATTGAAAGCTCGGTTTGGTGGAACCGACCGTCTTTGAGTACGACCGGCCGACATTTCATCGGTTCGGTGGAACCGAAAGTCTTTATGATATGAACCCGAAAGTTCTGGGTTCGGTTTGGGTCGGGTCAATTAATGACTTTCTACGGTTTAACCGAGTTTTGCATTTTTTATATATTTTTTAAAAAATTTATTCTTTTTACTCAACAATTTTCGTTTTTCAAATAATGTTTATTAAAAATATAAAATATTTTAATAAATCCAATAGTCACGAATATAATATATAATTTTTTAAAAAATATTTTATTTATCTACTATATATTAATAACTAATTTTTCATAAAACTCAATATTCACTAATATACACCGTGACTCAATATTAAATATTTTTAATTTTTATAATAAAATTTATTAATAATCGACCATCTTAGCCTTTTATAGTGATTTTAATGCAATATTCTAAAGGATTTATATAATGCTTTATTCTAGAACAAATAACTGAAACGGAATCGACAAATATATTTAATACCGATCAAATCAATTCCAACAGTTCCTCAACTTTTTGTTTCTTTTGGCTTGCATCTTCGATCATAATTTGACATATTTCTGATTGATCGAATCAATTTCAGGAGTTCTTTTTCTTTCGGTTTGCATCATAATTGGATAAATCGTTGAAGTTTCTTCCGTCTTTTGATCGTTAGATGCAAATTCTCTTGAACATAGAACAAGGCGGTGAAAGAGATCGAAGTTTTTGGAGCATGACAAGACAACGCCGCATCTTTGTTAATGGACTATTCATTTCATTAGCTCTCTCGAGTTTTGACCTCTCAGTTATATGTCTACATAATTCAAATGGAATCTCTCAATGCGAAGAAGATTCGCGTCATATTAATCCGTGAGTAAATAAGCAATTTCCCTTGCATCTGCTCTGTATTGATGAATTTTCTTCGTTTTTTTTGACGGATTTTAGAAACTTCACGATTAGAAGAGTGATTTGTTGAATTTGTTGGTTTTGACGGCGACTTCTAAGGCACTGTTCTTTAATATTGAGATTCGCGTTCCCCGAACATGTATATATATAACTGTTGGAAGCTGACTTATCTAGCTTTACGTAATTCGTTGTATCAGGATGAGGATATGCACAGCCTATGCGTGACGCATCCAGATAATTGTGTGAGATATTTTTGGGGGCTTTTTCATTTCATGAATGGATTCAACTCAACGAACTGCAAGCAATGTATGTTGACTTAAAAGACTATTGTTGAGACTATATTAAATCATGAAGTTTTCGATAGAATGTAAACTCAGATTTTGGAGCTTTAGCTCAAATTTCTGGGATGTTATTTACTCCTGAATTGGCTGTCTCTTGAATCGATCTAATATCAGCTTCGTATTTGATGAGTGGTGCAATGCTGGAAGTGTAGTGAATAATAAAATATGCCTCGGAATTGTTTGTCAATATATATATATATATATATATATATAGAGAGAGAGAGAGAGAGAGAGAGAGAGAGAGATGATTAAATTTGCCTTAGCTTAATTTTTAAGCTTTAGATGTGGCGATGCTTTGGAAAAAGTTGAGTTCTCTAAGAGAGAGATTTGGAGATCATGTTGTTTTTTACTTAACCAATGGTTGGTTTGACCACAGTGACATTTAAGAATTCCCTATCTTAAATGATAGCAGCAAACAAATAGAATATTCTCATCTTGGAATTTTCATGCCTTTCAGATCATATAGAACAAAGATGAAGATGCATTGATAGCTAAGATTCTATAGTTGAAATCTAGAGGGTATGAAAAGTGGGTGTGGTTGTTAATTGAAATGCTGGCCTTATCCTCAACTCATGACAAGAACAAAGTTGCAGCAGAATCCTAATGAGGGAGAATCAATGGTAATGGTGACCCTTGCTTTTAATATACCAGTGAAAGTTTCTTCATATCTTACCGGAAATAAACATCTTGATGCCTTTAAAGTTAGTTTGATGGAGATATGAAAGAATCTGTCCTAGTTTCTGCATTTCAGTTATATATTTTCGTGTCCTACTACGGTGTTCTGATCCATATGTTTATGTGGACCAACAAATACAGATGGAAATGAACTGGCTAAATCTTATTAATCTCCACACCAGCTGAGATGTAGAATTCACTGTATTGTTTAAGTTGCAGCCTTCTCCAATATGAATTTATGCTACTTCCTCTTAGATTTGTTCCTTTCCTACTAGTTTCAAGTATGAATTTGAATCAGGGTCGTCATTGTTCTGAAATTAATAGACCAAAGTCTAATCCTTCTTTTAAAGGGCTGAGACTTTCCCATCAATGATGACTGTATAAGTTTCTATGGATTTTTTTGACTTATAATAAATGGAATTCTATTTCCATATCTTGTGCTCAAGATTTCCCTACTTCTAGTTATGAAATCTTTGATATTCTTGACGGCTGATCCTATCACCCTGGTTGGCTAAATAAAATGCTTTCTGGTAATGTTTTGTGTGTGGTGTATCTTATTGATTCTAACTGCAAAATGGTTTTACACATTGAAGGACACGTCTTTAGATTTATCATTACACATTAAGTGATACCATATGCAACTTCATTTGCGGAAAAGAGGATCAAGAAAATCATCGATAAGGCCCATTTTCCTTATCCAAACAACTATCTCAAGGAACTTGCCTTTTCTATCCATCTACTTGTGTCTTCCAATTTGTTTTGATTAAACAATTCAATCCACCACCCGTTCACCAGCCTTTATAAATACATTCGTTTATGCGAAGTCACCATATCAAAGCCTAAGCAACCATACAACCTTACTTCCACAGCTTCTTGTTCCTTGCTCTTCTACAAGCCTTTGCCTTTTTTCTTTTCCTCCTTTTGTGAATATAACTGCAGTCATTTCACTTATCTTTGAATATTTGGCATAAAAATCTTTGGAAGGAAGAAGAGCGATTGAATATTAATGGATAGATTGAGAAATTTGGCATCACAGAAAGCAGTAGTGATTTTTGCCAAGAGATCATGCTACATATGCCATAGCATTCAGACACTTTTTTATGAGCTTGGTGCGAGCCCTGCAATTCACGAGCTTGATCATGAAGCAAATGGACGAGAAGTTGATCGGGCTCTTAAAAGTCTAGGGTGCAACCCCTCTGTTCCAGCTGTGTTCATAGGAGGAAAGTTTATAGGCTCAGCAAAAGATGTTATTTCTCTCCATGTTAATGGGGATCTGAAACAAATGCTGATAGATGCGAAGGCCATCTGGTTGTAATGCTACAAAAGACAAAACCTGATGGCTGTCTTTGTTTCCTTTTGTGTTGTTTCCTCCCTGCCTTTATTATGGTGAAAGGGCTCTTAAAAACTGTTGTAAGAAGGCTCTGAAAGATATTCAGTTTGCTTAACGAATGGCAGGATAACTTTATAAAATGAAGCCATAATCACCGTGAGACATCTAAATGCCTGGATAACTTTTCCTAGAATTCAGTTCTTCTTTCATCTTCATGCATTACAAAGAAAATAACAAATAACAAATAGCAAATAGACATTAAATGTTGACTCCAGTATGTCCGCTACACTGTCTATGTAGGATTAGCCTTTATCTACTGAAGTAGAAAAAAACATGGACCAATTTTGTTCTGAAAATTGAATAATAAGCTAGGACAGCAGCATGAGACGTTTTTGTGTGTAAAGCTGGTACTTGTTTATTTTCAAGTCTACCTTTGATAAAAAAAATCGGAAGATGCACCACTGAGGAATTATGAACTTGCGAAGGAAATCTCCCCTTGCAAATTGAATTTTCTTCTGTTTGGAATTATTATTAGTTTTCCTGTGTGGCTGATGTTCCACCTTTGTCCAGGTGCTCTCTTTCTTTTTCGTTCGGTTTCAATCATGAGTTGCCCAATAGGGAGACGGTAGACGTTCTGACTCTCCTAAAATTTTGAGTTCAAGTCAGGGAAGAGGGATTTTCATTGCTGGAGTCTTAGTCCATCTGAGGGCTATTCTTGTAGTTCATTCTTCCGTTGGTTGTTGGATTCCTCTCCTCCTCGTGAGCAATATTTTCTCCTTTATCGGAAGTGAAAGTTCCAAAGAAAATTAAATTCTTCATTTGGTAGATTATCCATGAAAAGGTGAACACCCTTGATAGACTTGTGAGGAAGTTTCTTTCATTGGTTGGTCAATTTTGTTACATTCTTTGTCAAAAGGTGGAGGGATACTTGAATCATATCTTGTGGAGTTGTGATTTTGCATTGTTTGTCTAAGATTTTTTTCTTTCAGGTGTTATGGTTTTCAGTGTGTCAGACAAAGATGTTGCAGAGAGATAATCGAGCAGTTCCTCCTCCTTCCTTTTCGAGAGAGGGGGGGTTTTTGTGTCAAGCTGCTGTGTGCCTTGGTGTGGGGTCTTAGAGGTGAAAGGAATGTATAACCTTTAAAGGAGTTTAGAGGGACTCTTTGAGATGTTGTCCCCTCTTGAGGTTCTATATTTCTCTTTGAGCGTCAGTAACGCGTATTTTTTTTTATTACTCTTTATATCTTGTTTTACTGGATTGGAGTCTCGTACTTTAATGGGATTTTCTTTTGTGGACTTATTTTTTTGTATGCCCTTGAATTCTTTCATTTTTTTCTGCATGAAGGTTGGTTAATTATGAGGAAGGCATGTTGATAAAGACGTGCACATATGTAATTGCCAAGTGAAAATCAGATATTGTCTATGAAATACATACCCAAATCATTTTTGGCTTTACAAATTGAGTCTCAGGTCCCTTATTATCTAGTTTAAGCATTACTTTTGTTGGATAAACTATGGTTGGGTTAATTTTATCAATCACTGCATAACATTTTGGATTTAGCTAGTTAGATTCTTTACAGCAGGGAAAACCTAGTGATTCTGTAACCTTTATGCCTGCCATGAACTTTTTATACATTTTAGCCCAAACCAACTCCGGAGATGCAAATTCAGTTACTGTAGGGAATTATGCTTTATTGTTCAGCCAACATGAGCATAGTTCAACCAGTTAAAAACATACATCATCGACCAAAAAGTTAAAAGGCTTTTGGTTGAGGTTTAACTCCCCACCATTGTTGTCCAACTCAAAAAAAAAAAAAAAAAAAAAAAAAAAAAAAAAAAAAAAAAAAAAAAAAAAAAAAAAAAAAAAAAAAGAGGTATGCTTTATTGTTCAATGTCATAAAATGGCAAGCATGTGAGGTTTATCTAAAGTGTCAACAGAGGGTGTCAGTATTCGCTCCCAAGAACAGGATATACTCTGTTGATAGTCATGTGCTTAGTTATATACAAGAAATTACATTGGCTAAGGCTTCATGAAGCTATAATTTTTCAAAGAACCTGTCGATTGAATATAGGGGGAAAGTTCAACTTTCAAAATTACATATATCTGTGTGCTCACTAGGCTTTGGAGCACAACTCTGTTAGATTAATGAAGCTTGGCAAGCTCATATGCAAGAAGGAATCATACAAGTTGGTGGACAGAATACGAAGAACTACAACCATTGAAGTCTTTCTGCTCAAGGATTCAAAGAAGGTGATTGGAAGAATCTGGTATTTATTGACTGACATTACAGAACTTGTTACTTTGTTTTCATTGTTTCTTGATATCTATATTCTCATTTCCACAAACTCTGCAAAGTAGAAGACACGGTTATTGTTTTTACACGTCAGACAATGATTGATAGGATTAATTTTGATTATGTTACTAATAAAGTGCGATTAAATTATGATTTTACATATCAAATGGTTAATTATTCGTATTTCAGCATAATAAAATAGTCATGCCCACTGAATTAAAAGACCTTTCAACTTGTCCAGCCTGTTGGAAACGGTAATTTTTAAAGTTTCTTTTATTAGTTTGAGCATCAAAGTAAAGTGAACGTTCCTTTTTAGAAAAAGGCAGCATTCCTTATGTTGTCCCTATAAATAGTCTTGCATGAGAGCTCAAACTCATATAACAAGAAGCTTCGATATTAGTTTCCTCTTGCACAATTTCCCTTCTTAATATTTAAAGCCTGTATAACCATATTTAGACCAAATTTGTATAAATTTGGTCCAAAAAGGTTACAAGGTTTTAAACGAACTTGAAAGAAACCTTAGATATATCAAGTGTACGTTTGTTTCTTGGCTTCATTTCATTTGCTAGGTAAACTCTATCGTACTAAGAAGCCATGGATAAGGTTAAGAGGTTGGTTGCAGAGAGGAGTGTGGTCATATTCAGCAAGAGCTCATGCTGCCTATCCTATGCAGTTAAAATTCTATTGGGGGAACTTGGATTCAATCCTTTCGTGTATGAGATTGATCAAGACCCTGACTGCAGGGAAATAGAGAAAGCTCTCATGAGGCTTGGCTGCAGTGCACCAGTACCAGCCGTGTTCATCGGTGGAAAGCTAATCGGATCCACAAATGAAATCATGTCGCTCCACCTTAGCGGTGACCTGACCAAAATGCTGGTGCAAAGCCGTGCTTTGAACAACAAATACTAAATCTAACCAAATTATTCACTATTCTGTTGGAGAAGGAAAACGATAATAAGTTGGCACAAGTCTATTAGTGAATAGTTTATGTGATGCTATGCGTCAAGAATTATGTAGCAATTGTTTAGCGATGTAGTATGTAATACGTTTATTATTATTAATGAAGCTGCCTCCTATTTTCTTGTGTTCATATTTTCCCAGCTGAGCTCTGAACGCTTTCTTTAATATGCATCCAAAACTCAGCTGAATTCTTCTTTCCTAAATTGTTTTATCATATTACTAACTTTTTGCGACTAATCCTTCCTTTTCAGACTCTCTGAGAACTAAAGTAGCAGGAAAATCTGTCTGCAAGTATCGAAGCATAGTCGACCCCAGGTATGACTACTTGTGACTATACCTTCAATGCTTTAGAGATTTTGACGCAGTCTGAGTATTCAAGTGCCTATAAGCTCTACTTGCATCGACTACCTGTGACTATACCTTCAATGCTTTAGAGATTTTGACGCAGTCTGAGTATTCAAGTGCCTATAAGCTCTACTTGCATCGACCCCAGTTATGACTACTTTTGACTATACCTTCAATGCTTTAGAGATTTTGACTTGGTCCGAGTATTCAAGTGTCTGTAAGCTCTACTAGGATCGACCCTAATTATGACTACTTGTGACTATACCTTCAATGCTTTAGAGATTTTGACTCGGTCCGAGTATTCAAGTGCCTGTAAGCTCTACTAGCGTCGACCCCAATTATGACTACTTGTGACTATACCTTCAATGCTTTAGAGATTTTGACTCGGTCCGAGTATTCAAGTGTCTGTAATCTCTACTAGCATGGATCGCTATCGTTAAATTAGGATGCTCCATTAATCAGATACAATATTCTGGTCAAAGAACCAGTTGGACTACTTGTTGGGTCTTGGTATTTTATTAAGAATATATTGTTTAGGAACAAAATAATGTGAAATATAATGATCGGTAAAACCAAGTTTCAGATAAAAGAAATGTTGTTCTGAGATAATTCTCCATAACGATCCTCCCCAAGCTAATGCAAAAGTTGAAGGAAGAAATTCTAAACTTTTCCGGCATGTGGGGCTGGGATTCTTCAACTTTTTTCATATTATAGGCATCACATTCCATTCGTTATAATGTTTATTCTCTTTTGATTTGTGCCTTCTTATGTCTGTGATACTCCTCCCTTCAGCAGTCGGTATCATTACCATAGATTTTGTGCAGGTTTAACCTTTGATGCGAATGCCATATATAGTTCGTGATAATCAGTTCGAGCTCCACGACACACAACCTTTACTCAGGTACTTCTCTTTCTCAATTATAAAGAATATTGTTCATATCAGTTTTTTTTACCATTTTTTAGTAGTGAAATGTGAGTTTAGTGAACTTGACGGATCTGGTTTAGTTATGTTCTTCTTACTCTTTACTATCTCTGCGGATCGATAAAGAAAGGTGGTTGAAAAGCTCGTAGTTATTTTGCATAAACTTTTATGAGGATGGTCGAAGCAATTTGTGCAAATAGTTAATGGAGAGTATTGTATTTTGATGAGTTATTATCTATCACGTCGATAGATGAAAGACTACTTTAATAACAGAAGCGACCAAACTTGAGAGAGCCACTTCTGGAAGCGCTCGATGGTAATCAAAGCATCAACATATAACAAGGAATGAGTTTAGCTAATTGAATTCAATCCATAGCCCAAAAACGAAACAAAGTTGATGACTTCATAGTTATTACCTTGACCCTAAATAAGGGTTTGGTCGTATGAGTTATTTCTATCGTTTTTTTTTTATATATATTATGTAATGTTCTATTAATCTCTTACTATATATTGAAAATTTTATAATTAAAGGATTAAGAGAGAAAATTTTGAAATGATTGAAATAAAAAGTAGGGGAGTAAATTAGTAATTTATTGTTTTTTATAATTGGGAAGTTGAGCCACTCTTTGTAATATGCTATGATGAATGGCTAGTTTCTTTCAACATATAAAGTCATTCTTTGTTTCAAAGTCACGTGATAAATAGAATTTTGAATGGGCATAAGAACCTTAAATATTAACCTGTCAGCCACTCCAAATTCCAGTTGTCCAAAAAAAAAAATGCTTACAGAATAAGTAAAGATACCGGCCGTCTACTCAGGGTTCCAATCTTAACGGTTGGCAACTAAACACAAGGGTTACACTTGTTGCGGGACTTAACCTAACACCTTACGGCATGAGCTGACGACAATCATGCACCACCTGTGTCCGTGTCCCTGAAGACACCCCTCTCTTTCAAGAGGATTTGTGGCATGTCAAGCCCCGGTAAGGTTCTTCCCTTTGCATTGAATTAAAACTACATGCTCCACTGCTTGTGCAGGTCCCCGTCAATTCTTTTGAGTTTCATTCTTGCGATCGTACTCCTATCTATGGGGACCTGCTATGAACGAAGAAGAGATTTCCCATTTAGACAGAAGAAGTGAAAGAACTTTTTTTTTTTTACCTATGAGATAGATGGGGCCCGGGACAGGATTATAATCTCTGTCCCCGTCTAAATCCCGGTCCCGCCATGAGACTCTAATTCCTTCGTTTTGTGGCCTCCACTACATAACCAACCAGGCTCTTGCCTTTATCCAGGAAATTGAGAATTTGGCAAGATGTATCAATTCATTTATATAGAAACTTCTTAGAAGGGAAAGAAATAAAGCAATAAACAAAGAATTCAAAAACCTGCTATAGCCGTCGGGATCCATGGTCAATTCCGGCGGAAATTCGGTACTCGTCTTTGATCGTCCCAAGCATTTCTATATAAGTGCATACAATTACTCGTTTCTTCGATTCTCTTCCCTCTCTCAAACAATACTCGAATAAAATTAATGGCAGCGATTAAAGCCCTACTTTCCATTGCTCTTATCGCTCTTCTCTTGTTCTTCGAATCCCTTCCAACTTCCGCCGCCGTTCACCGCGGGGCTTCCACTTCTCTTGTCGGAATGCTTCGCCGGAACATCGTACAGACGACGGCGGATCATCGTCAAGTTGCAGAGAAGAAGTTCAACGTTCATATCAAAAGGAGGATGCGGATGCGACCTGTGCTAATTGGCCGCCCTAAGACATCGGCTGCGAATCGGAGCCGAGAAGCGTTCTGTGGCGTTGGATCTATGCTGTGTATCTTCGTTCTTTTGGGATTGTTCTTGTAAATCATCCGTTTCTGTAAAATTTGGATTCAGTTTTATTCATTTCATTTTATTTATATTTATACGATAAAAATTCAGGGTTTTTTTTTTTTTTTTTAATTATTATTTTATTTTAAATTTGTTTATTCTCTTGTTCAGAATGAATTTGGGTGTAATAAATCCTCGAGATTATTTGTAAATTATTTAAAATATCTTTAAAGTGATTGATAATATCAATTCTAAACACATTTTAATAAATAAAACTTAATAGAATGTCTAATAAATAAGCAAAAATTTTCAATAAAAATTCCTTTTTCCGACATTAATGTGCACGCGTACATGTACATGCACTTAATTCTTCCCAAACTCGAGCTAAATGGCTTCCACCATAGTTCTTGTTCTTTTCTTGACATCTCTATTCTTCTGGGTCGAAATATTCTTCGGATAGTAGATGATCATCATCAAGTTGATAAAATCAATGGTCGATACCTTTTCGAACGAAAGATCATATCACGATGGGCTCGAAGCTCCAAGCCCATCAACGACAAATCGGAGCTGAATGTCATTGTTTGGGATGACGTTTGTGTTGTGTCATTGTATTGTTCTTGGTTTGCTTGTGTGGGAGTTCGATTGTTCATTTCTCGAATTTTTTGAGTTGTACTTATTGGTATGGATTTAAGATTTTGTATCGAGTTTTGTGAGGTCAATTAATTTAAAATTATAAATTTCATTTAATTATTATTTATAATTAAGTCCAAATTCAAATATTTTCTCTGCAAATTTATCATCCACCGTGAAATCTTTGTAGCATGATTAAAATATCTTATTTCGTATTACTTACATGAATAAGAGATTTTGGGTTCTCAGTAGGTTCTCGTTGTTGGATGATGAAAGTCTCATGGGTTTATAAGTGAGGAATACTAACTCCATTGGTATGAGGCCTTTTGAGGAAGCCCAAAGCAAAGCTATGAGAGTTTATGCTCAAAGTGGACAATATCATACCATTGTGGAGAGTCGTGTTCATCTAACATGGTATCAGAGCCATGCCCTAAACTTAGCCGTGCCAATAGATTGACAAATCCTTAAATGTCGAACAAAGGACTCCAAAAGGAGTCAAGCCTCCTCGAAGGTACGAAGGCAGTCAAAAATGACTAAGACTCCAAAGGAGTCGAGCCTCGATTAAGGGGAGGCGTGCTTTGTTCGAGGGGAGGTGTTGGATGATGAAAGTCCCATGGGTTTATAAGTGAAGAATACTAACTCAATTGGTATGAGGCCTTTTGGGAAGCCCAAAGCAAAGCCATGAGAGCTTATGCTCAAAGTGGACAATATCATACCATTGTGGAGAGTCGTGTTCATCTAACATGGTATCAGAGCCATGCCCTAAACTTAGCCGTGCCAATAGATTGACAAATCCTTAAATGTCGAACAAAGGACTCCAAAAGGAGTCAAGCCTCCTCGAAGGTACGAAGGCAGTCAAAAATGACTAAGACTCCAAAGGAGTCGAGCCTCGATTAAGGGGAGGCGTGCTTTGTTCGAGGGGAGGTGTTGGATGATGAAAGTCCCATGGGTTTATAAGTGAAGAATACTAACTCAATTGGTATGAGGCCTTTTGGGGAAGCCCAAAGCAAAGCTATGAGAGTTTATGCTCAAAGTGGACAATATCATACCATTGTGGAGAGTCGTGTTCATATAACACTCGTGCGCTTGTTGAGTCCAACGAGAAGCTTCTGTAAGCACTTCGACGTATCTATTTAACCTAAGACGTTAATGTTATTTTCCATAAAATAATATTTTATTTACTCCCATGAGATTATAAAATAAAATAAAAAGGGAAAATCCTTAATAAAACAATTTCAAGCTCTGTAACTATTCTCGAACCAAACCAGAGAGAACGAACAGGGTCGGTCTCCAATGGAACAAGACGACTGCCCTGTGCCCCAATCTGCCGGGAGAGAAGATTTCGGGAAATTGCAGCACGGGTACCAATTTCTTTCCTTCATGAGGCGGCCTTGGCCTTCTTCTTCTTGTTCATCCTCGTTTTCGTCATCAGTAACTTCTTTTCGATTTGAATTAGATGCGAGCATTATAGGAGACGATGCAGAATCCGAGCCCCGTGCTGCGACGGAATCTTTACCTGTCGCCATTGCCACAACGAGGCCATGGTATTTCTCTTTCCTTTCTGCGTTGCTTGTGCGTGTGTGAGAGGCGTATAATAAGGGATTGTGTATATGTTGTTGAACTGGAGCTTTCAGCTGAATTTATGAATTTTCATTGATTTAGAGCTCGCTGAGCAATCCGAAGGACCGCCACGAACTTGTTCGACAGGACGTTAGACAAGTCTGTTTGTACGCTGTTCTATTGATTTTTTTTTTTCCGGTTAAATTGTTGATTGTAACACATCGTGAAAGGACGTCATAATAGGATTTGATTGATTTTGTTGGAATTGATGCTTTAGGTGGTTTGCTTGATTTGCAACACAGAGCAAGAGGTTTGGGGATTTCTTTTCTTTTCTTTTCTTTTTGGATAATGTCGTTCTTTGTGTTTATATGTTCTTGTTTACGTATTAAACGTTTGAATTTGGTGCATTTTAGGCCGTCAGGGTTTGTCGCAACTGTAATGTTAATATGGGAGAATACTTTTGCGACATCTGCAAATTCTACGATGATGATGTAGGAAAAGTTTCCATCAATCCGTTTCCCTTTATTTAGGAACTGATTTTGAATTTTTAAGTGTGGAACTGAATTATCTGTTTATCCTAGATGCTAATAGTTTCTGTTGTGTATGTAGACCAAGAAGAAGCAGTTTCATTGTGATGCTTGTGGTATCTGTAGGTAAGGGTGCATTTTCCGGTTTTAATTCTAATGTAAACTCAGCTTTCTGTGTTAAGTTTCTAAATAAGTATTCTTTGTAATATGATTTTCAGAGTTGGTGGTCGTGAAAACTTCTTTCACTGTGAAAAGTGTGGTATGTTATTCAACTTTCTTGATGATTCGTTATAACTTTGTCTTGTGTTGTAACTTCTTTTACTGCAAGCAATTACTATAAGTTATTTGCTTATAATACCTTCAGGGTTAGTGCAACTAATTCACTGCCTATTAAGGTCTTTTTTTCCCTTTGTTTTTGGAAAAGTTGTTTGATGAGACCTTTCACAATGCAACCGTTAGGTTTATGTGAGATCCCACATCGGTTGGAGAGTGGAATGAAGTATTCTTTATAAGGGTGTGGAAACCTCTCCCTAGCAGACGTGTTTTAAAACCTTGAGGGGAAGCTCAGAAAGGAAAGTCCAAAGAAGACAATATCTCTAACGGTGGGTTTGAGCTATTATAGTTTGCCCTTTTGGATGTGTGAGAGAGAATTTTTTTTAAAGACAATATTTAATGACACATTTAGAGCTCATCCAACCATTATAACAAACTAAAAGCTAACCTCACCACTGAACAAGTTTTGGAATTGCAAATTGGAAAGATAACTACACATCTATCTCCTTTAGGGCACAAGTGAAATGAATTACCTTTAGGTGTCGGTTGCTCTGGTGTAGATCTGTTGACTGACATGAGCTGAGATCATTCTGATAGAACCTCATGCAAGCAAGCCATTGATCCTCAACCAATCAGAAAGGATTGAACTAGCTTGTACTTGGTAACTTCAAAAAGAAGCTAGTCATAAGTTCCCTTATCAAATGAAACCATGTTGTTCACCTTCTCCTTTTGCTTACCCTTGCCCCATTTCTTCTTCTGCTGCTGCTTCCTCCTTGTTCGGCGCCACAAGATCTGATTTGAGTGTTTGAGTGAAGGAGTTGCAAAGGCTTGAACAAAGTTGTGTGACAGAGAAATTATGAAAGTATTTCATTTTTGTATCCAACAGTTATTGGGGACATAAATTTTTGGATCTACATTTTACGGTTAATAAGAGGTGGCCTCATTGAATAATTTGTTCTATTTTTGTGTTTGTGAGGTGGGTCGATAGGGAGATTAACATTTTGTTATAAGTACAGGATCTTGCTATTCCACCCCACTGCGCGATAACCACATGTGTGTTGAGAACTCTATGAAAAGTTTTTGTCCCATTTGTTATGAGGTTTGTACTTTTAGATTGCATATTTTCCTAGGGGTACAATCTTAACTGTTTTCTTCTAACAATTTTATTGATGCTTGCAGTTTCTTTTTGACTCAATTAAAGACACAACTGTTATGCCTTGTGGTCACACAATACATTTGGAGTGCTTCAGAGAGATGGAATCGCAGAATCAGTACTTGAATTCTTAACTCAACATCCAGTTTCTGAATATACTAAAATATTTCTAAAAACTTTGCAAATACAAAATACAACTCTATTTTCTATTATATCCATTGTCTTTATTCTCAAACCAAACAGGTTCTAAGCTTCCTGTTTTGAATTACATTAAGATTTCCAGTTCTCTTATTCTAATATAGTAATATTTGCCTCCCAGATACCGTTGTCCTATCTGCTCCAAGACAGTTATGGACATGTCTGCAAGCTGGGCATTGCTGAAAATGGAGGTGTGTTTAGTTCAGTTATGATAAAAATGAAATGTAGAAGGAAATTAGACAACTGTCGTTTTAATTCTTAGAGAGGTTTCGCCAGTTAGTGAACACGATAGAACGGGTGGCTTCACATAAATTTTAGCAACCTTAGAGATTAGAATCTGTATCTTATCATTGTACATTGTACCCCCACTCTTCAACCTTATGACTAATTTTTTTATTTTTTTTTCTCTTTTTGTCGTGATGTATGATTACATGTATTGGTCTGTTCGTTAGAAAGTTGGTGGTTGCAGACTTATTATCTTAATAGAAATATGACTGGAGTGATTGTCTGTTAGAAAGAAAATGAGTGTAGATTCAAGGTTTTAGTTATGCAAATCAGTTGAATTGCGAGAGAGGGATTGAGAGGCAAGATGAAAGAGGCAGTCCATGAGAGCTTAATACTTTCTGTTACGGTTTGACTTGTTCTGTTTATGACTTTAAATTTTGTCCTTTTCCATTTGCCCATTACCCGTTACCCAGTTGATATTTATGGTAAAATAGATCCTGTTGAATACTAAACTTTTCGGGTCACCAAGTGGTGGTTCTTTATATTTGTTAAGGCATGTTTCTTCTGTCATATTTCAGTGTTGATATTCCGAAGTTTCTTTGGTTTCTTAATTGTGTTTACTGTACCGTAGACCTTTGGCATTCCATATTATCTTAAATTTTAAATTCTATTCTATCTTTTTCTAGATTGACTGCACACCGATGCCTGAGGAATACAGCCATGAGGTAGTTGCTTATCTGCTTGTTTACGTTACCACACTGCATTTCAGAAATCGTCTAACTTAATCAACTACTGGGTTAAACAGGTATCGATTCTCTGCAACGACTGTAGCCATACGAGCAATGTTCGTTTTCACATTTTGGGACACAAGTGCAGTCAGTGCAATTCATTCAATACTAGGAGGATTTCTACTGTAGAAGGTCAATGAAAACTAAAGGTAAGCAAGAAAAATGGGGGCTCTCTTGATCTTAACCATTAGGTTCTGTTGAAAGTTCGATTGTTCGAGTCATTTGATCCATTTAGAAGTTCGATTGTTTGAGTCATTTGATCCATTAAGGAAGGCAACCTGTTTTGTTCAGAGGCCGGCTATGATTGGTTTATACCCTTAATCAGACATGTGGAAAGTCTAATAGTGCAACATAAAGTTAAATAGTTGGATCTTCTATAGGAAGAGTCTCAGATTCTTTTCATTGTATCATTTAGTATTTATCTTGCAAAAAAATATATACATCATATTAGATACATTACGCAGATGTGAATTTAACATAAATCTCAACATATTTGATACCTGAATTTCAGTAAATTAGGAAATAGGTTGATGATTGTTCATTTAAGAGGATATAGTTAAGGAGATGGATGATAAAGTGCTTTTAACTCTACTGATGTTTTAGGATATTAAATCTTAGGTAAGTGTGGCCACCATGGATTGAAGAACTCGTTCCCTCTAAACCTTTTTATTATTCCCATTGCTCTTCTTGACCATTGGGCTGATCCTTGGTTGTGTCTTGCAATCAATGTTAAACTCTACCAACCAATACATGTTTTAGTTTGATATTAAATGATTTTGTTAGGCCCCTTTCTGTGAGAGTTTATGCTAGAAAAGGCAAAATGGGACAATGCACCCAATAATTTGTTATGTCTTTGTGCCTAGTATATGAGGGATACGTGAACAAGGGAAGTTTGATATCATTTTCGATCGGTAACTACAGAAAGGGAGAGTTCCCAGCCCTCTTGAATGTTAGCTTGTAACGGGTGTTCTTCACCCGATTCTGTATTCTCGTAAGTAAATAAATTTTCGATACCTGACAAATTTACAGGAGTAGGTTCGAATTGAGAATTGAAACAAAACTTGTTGGAGTGTGAATAACATTCTTAGTACTGTGTTTCTTAAACTTTAGTTGGAGTTGGAACATAAAATTGAAAGTTTAGAAAGGTAAGTACAGACGGGACGGTATGTTCAGCCAAAAGGAGCATATTGACTTCAAACCATATAGTTTCACTCTGTCGAAACAAATCCAGTCACACCCACCAAAAACAAGCTCATATTCAATCTCCTAATTTCATTTCTTGTAAAGATTCAAAGCAGAAAACACAACCAAACAAAGAAACATGACAGAACCAGCAATGGAGACAACAAGTGCAGCTGTGAAGTGGTGACAGTACCCTTCAAAGAAACCACAGACTTTTATCCATTGCATATGTGAGTTCCCATCTCGACCGATGACTCCAATGGCTGCAGCAGCACCATCGGCAGAGAACAATAGCCCTACCATGATCAGGTCAATGGTCATGAGCAACATCCATTTCATTGGATTGTCTTTGTAACCTTTGGTCGCCACCGAGTACACCAACGACACTGCTGCATACGCACATGCTAAACAATTCGACACCACAAAGTACCTATGCAGAAGAAAATTATGAGACAGACCATAAAACTAAATGAGGTTGAATAACACATAAAAGGAGATGAAGGCTCGCAGCGGGTTTTAACCAAATAGAAAGTCTATGAGGTTGAACTGTAATCATAATAAGTCGACAAGAATACAGCTCAACTAACATAAAACATACAACATATGCTCTCGATCAAGAGGTCGAAGCTTCAAATCTTCTACCCAAGTAATAACAAAAGAACTCAAATAACATGACATATAGTATTGCGGGCATTTGTTGAGCGTGTCCATGAAACAAAATGATAAAAAACGATTGATTTACATTGAAAACTTTCATTCAGGCATTTTATCAAACACCATGAAGGCACCTCCAAAACCCATAGATATCATAAAAAGAGAGAGAAATGAAAGCTCACTTAAAAGCAGACAAGTATTGCCACTTAGCAGAAGCATAAAAATGGATAGGAGGCAAGCTTTTGATGAGCGTAACAGAGATAATCTTCGACTCATTATCAGCGCCAACAACAACAGCAGCAACCAAAGTGAAAACCAGACCCAAAAATCTCAGAACCGCATCAAACGGCCATCTCAGTCTTCTTCTTCCACTCTCCCAAGCTTTAATATTGGTTCCCACGCCATTAATCTGCTGCATCTTTCAGCAAGCACGAGCTTTTCAACCGGAGAAGGGAGCATTTGGAGTGAACAAAAGGGGATTCAAAGCAGAAAGTTGGGGAAAATATTTACTCGCATTTAATGCCTCAGACAGAAATAAATAAATGCCAAGTAGTGGGCAGCCTACTCACTTTATTTTTCCGACACATTAAAGGGGCACGATCCACCCAACACAAAAAGTTTGTGAACGTGTTCACTGGCCTTAGACATCTAACGGTAATCCTTCTCCAGGTTCACTTATGAAAATCTTGTTACGAATTCTCCTTCCTCTAAACGATAAGGTTCAGTGGACCGTCCACGTTGCCATCTGGCTTTCTCCAGCACAGGCATAATTTACCATCTTTCGAATCCGACAGGCATTCTCACACTCAAATCCTTCTTAGAAGATTAAAGTTGGTAGGTGGTGCAACTCACAAAGGGACCCCACCGATCAACTTCCTTGTACCTCGTTGATGGTGATATGGCACGTCTAAATTATTAAAATCTTTGCCCTATATGCTCAATAAACGTATATTTATTTAGTTTTGAATTTACATTGTTTTCTAAAGTTTCTTAACAAAAAAGTCAGGATGGCCGAGTGGTCTAAGGCGCCAGACTCAAGTTCTGGTCTTCGAGAGAGGGCGTGGGTTCAAATCCCACTTCTGACAAGTTTTTTGTCCAATTTAAATAATAATAATAAACTGAAACGTGTCGCGTTGTTATTGGATATCAAGAAAACTTAATCGACTATATTGACCACAGGGAATCTCTACCGTACTTCTCTGTCTCTTGGCATCTGTTTCCTCTTCCTTCTCTGTGTTTTTGCCCTAATTGTTCTCAGTTTCAATCAATCTCTCTGCAAAATTTTCTTTCCACCAACGATGAAGAACCGAGCTGGAAAAGACGAAGAACAGACTCGCTCGAAGTCGAAGTTCACGAAGGGTAATAAACACAAGAACATGAAACGATTGGGAGGGAAGGGCCCTTCGCCCCAGGCGTTCGCAAATGCGAAATCAACTACTGATTACTATAATCCAGCTTTTATAAGTATGATTCTTCTAAAATTTTTACTTCTTTCTCTCTTCATGGCCTTTTAGTTTTTTTTCACTGCCACTCGTTGATGATTCTGTTGAATCTAGGTTTTGGATTTTTGTTTACTTGTTATGGGGTTCGAGTTTTGTTGTAAATCTAATATTTGTGTGGAGTTCAAAAATTGGGGGAATACAATGCAATATCGTGTTTAATGGCTTGGTTTAGGGAATTGGATGTTTCAGATTGAAGCTATGTGAATTTCTTGTGGTGATAGAATAGATTATGAATTTTGATGGTATTTGTTTATGTATCTTTTGTTCAGAAAAGCAAAGAGAGTTCTATAAGAATGCTAAACATGTCAACAAGTATAAGAAGTTGGTAAAGCATCAGAATAATCAGAATGAGAGGCCATCTAACTCAACTGTTGGACTTGTCGAGGTATGTTGTTTTGATAATAAGTATCTACTATTCTAAGATTTCAATTATGTTCGTTAACCTTCATTGATTGCTAAGTCTGGTATTCTTGAGATATATATATTTTTTTTTATCCGAATGGAAGAATAAAAAAATGTTCTAGCAGAATATTTCATAAGATATCTTTTGTCGCTATTAGATATTGTTCTCTTTAGATTTTTCGTTTTAGGCTTCCCCTCATATTGTCCTCTTTGGGTTTTCACTTTTGAGCTTCCCCTCAAGGTTAAAACATGTCTGCCAAGGGGAGGGAAAGGACTTCCCTTCAAGGTTTTTAAAACATGTCTCTCCAACCAATGTGCGATCTCACAATCCACCTCCTTCGAGGCTCAACGTCTTCGCAGACACACCATGCCCGGTGTCTGCCTTCTGTACCATTTGTAACGGCCCAAACTCACTGCTAGCAGATATTGTCTCTTTGGCCTTTCCCTTTCAGGCTTCCCCTTAAGATTTTTAAAACACGTCTGCTAGTGAGAGGTTTCCACGCCCCTTCATTCCCCTCTTCAACCGTGTGAGATCTCACATAATCTGTTGCAAATTGTCCTATAAAGAGAGAGATGGGAGTTTTGTTTCTTTTTGGTTATGGAAGTTATTTCAGGTCACTCCTTGTTTTGCCGTTCCATTCTTGTTATCGAGAGAGAGAGAGAGGCTTTGTTTCTTTTTGTTTGTTGAAGTTATTTCTGGTGCCTCTGTCACTATTTGTTGATTGTGATTCCGATAGACATTGAACCTGATGAGCATCTGTTTATTCCAATTCTTGTTATTGAGAAAAACTGGTGTCACGCCTCGTTCAGGTCATGCCTTTTTGTTGCCTCTTGCCTTAAGGTGATTGAGAGTCGAGGAATTCAAAGTTTGTCGTATCCTTTTATTGTGTATTAAATTTATGGTTTCTATTGGTGCAAATCCAATCATCTCAATTTTTAATTTTAGATGAGAAAGAATTTCCTCGGTAGCAAATGCTTATCCATTAAGTAGAGGAAATTCTATTTAATAGAAGGATTATGACCTTATTCTTCCTAGAACGGACTAAGAGAGTCAGCTACCTAACTAATCTTCATAATTAAATATCGTTACTGTGTAGATAGATCTCGTTCTAAAAGACCGATTACTAACTAATTCATAGGTAGAGCCAAAGGGGGTGAACTATTAATTCATCCTCCATCCATCACTATTTGTTGATCATTGAACCCAACGAGCATCTGTTTTCATTCCATTCTTGTTATGAAAAGAATCTGCTGTATATAGCACATCACGTGCTTGCTCAAACTACTGTTCTTCCTGGTTCTTAAAGGGTGAAAATGAAATGAAATTCGAGAATCGGACGAATGGAAGACGTGGGAACGAAAGGAATAAAGGCGTACCTAGTCTCCAGGGACTGTATGAGAGAAAGCATCAAGAGAAGGAGAAAGCAAGAATGGAGAAAGAAGCCATTATTGCTGCAAAAAAGGAAGAACGAGAAAGAGCTAAAGCTAGAAGAAACTCCACGAGGGAGAAAATGTTCAAAAGGACACAAAAAGGGCAGCCAGTTATGAAGTACCGAATTGAGCATCTTTTGGAGACCATTGGCGCCTCAATGAACCACTGAGGACTTTGTGAAACAAAATTTTGTTCGCTTTAGTATGTATATTTCCCTTGTACCTTCTAGTTTGCTTCATTTTACAATCAAATTCTAAGGATTCATGGAAATGATACATGTGCTTAATGTTATCATATTTCCGTCGATTTGTAGGTGTTATTTTTATGGCGTTCATCAACGTGTAGGAGAGGGGAGACTCAAACTTTGATCCCTTCATATAAGGTATATGTCTTAACTAATTGAGTTATGCTTATTTTATCTAAAGTTAGGTGTTGAAACTCGACGAATATCTGAACTAGTTAGGTGGCATTCAATACTATCCATTAGATTCTTTAACAATCTCGTAACCAAGAATCTAAGTTTCCTAGGACAGGGCATGGTTTACTTTGATTACCAAGTGCTCCCTTTATCATGCATAGATAGATCTACATACACACAAACACAAATTGTTCGAATGCTCGAGATGCATCAATCACGAGCAAGTTCCAATAGAATTGGAATGGCATGTTTGGGATGAAAATACTCAGCATCGCAAGACGGTTTTATTCGAGAAGGAATGGGTAAATTCTAAATGAAACCGTTAATCCTATAAGATTATCCAACATATTACAATTACCGTATTAAAGATGATTCTCAAGGTGAATCTACAAACAAAGATTTATACCGTACAAGAACCGAACTTGGAAGCTTTGGGACTATTCGATCAGAGTCGAATCTCAAGGCAAACAACACAGTACATAAGCTCGGCGTGGTTGAGGCTGGCAGATGACCATGAGGGTGAGAGCTATAACAATAGCCAGCAGAAGTCCCATAAGATTCAATCCATCGGCATCATCACCGGTAGAGCAACAGTGCTTCCCCATCAGATTTACAGAGCAAAAAAACCAGTTTCCTTCCCTAAAAAAAAAAAAAAAAGCCTCAAAATTGAGCCTCTTGAACCCTTTCCTCTCGTCAATATAAAGTGTCTCAAGTCAAGTCTTTGTGTTAAGTCTTTATAAAGCTCTTTGATTCTTCTCCCTGTACTTAATGGGGCAGTTGGGTCGTTTTTGTTTGTTCAGATTAGTGAAGGACAAAAATGTAAAAATGTCACATTCTTTTCGTCGAAAGTTTATCGGAGATAGAATCATTGAAGTTTCATTTCGTATTTTGGTAGTTATATTTTCTAATAATTTTAACCTCTAAACCATCATTTGGTTAGAGATTTAGCTTAATAATGTGTTTAGTATTTTTTCACAAAAATAAATAATGTTTATGTTTGATTTCTCTCAATAATATTTATTAATATTAGATAGTTATTGATTTTAGATATTATAACCTAAGTATTTTCCGGTTCATTTTGGTTACCATACACTAGATATTTTTAACACAAATTTATGACTATATTTCAAAATTTTAATAAGCAAGTGTTTGATAACAAGTTTACGAGAAAAATAACAAATAATAAATCGATCAAAATAACCCTTACTTTAGAAGCAAGAGAATTTAAAGAGATATTTTAAAAGTACGAACAAAATTTAAAATAAAAATAAACAACTCTAGATAGAAGTTTCGAGCGTATAGATCAAAATAAAACAAAGTCGAGAGCGCATAAGCTATAATAATATTAAAAACACATTTTAAATAACACTAATATAATCATTTTAGAAAGGAATATATATATCTAAATACATGAAGTAAAAAAGAAAAAGGAAAAAAATGAAGAATGAAGAAGAAGAAGAAGAAGATGGGCAACGTGTGGGGCATATCATCAACCAATAAATCTGTCTGCAAATTGACAAACAACAAACCCACCTTTTCACAGAAACAGATTCGTCGCTTTGACCTGCTTTTTCCTTTTTCCTTTTTCTTGTTCATCACATTGCATAAATCTGCTCCGATCTGCTCTGCTCTGCTCTGTTGAGTTACTTTCACTCTGCAATTTCTCTCTCTTTCTCTTTTTCTCTCTCTTCTGCTGCTCTGGCAGGCTCATCAGACCAATTAATAAAAGCACTTAAACATGGAGTTGCAGTCTTTAAGTACTCTGTTTGTTTTTGTTTTTGTTTTTGTTTTTGGTCATCTCCTCAGGTGTTCTTCCTTCTTCAGCCCTGCTAAGTATAGAAACCCATCAATCAACAAGAATAATAAACAAAGTACCCAACAGGGAAAACAATAAAAAAGCTTCCAATCTCTCTACCGCCTGGCTCCACACTCGATAAAGCCTTCTTTCTCTCTCCCACTACAACACTTGCCAACTATTCACTTGCTTCCTTCCTCTCATACTTTTGAAACAGATCCTTAATTCTCAACATAAATCAGTTCTGTTCTACACAAATCATCTCATTTACTGAAATCTCAAGTGGGTCAGTCTGAGTTTCAAGTTTCTCTAGACTATGTTTCGATGTAATCTTATCTTAACAGCAGATTGCAGAGGACGATGCATCAACGGATTAGTCGTTATCACATTCGTCGACAGAATAATGAACGAGCACAGCCATTGAGAAACCAGAATGGATTTCGGACAAGAACTAATTTCAGTTGAAATCTGAAATGAATGTCTAATGAACATACAAGCAAAAGATTCTGCCCATAGTATTCGTGGTGACTGCGAATTGGGGTACAGTACAATGAAGTTTTGAAGAAACTTTGATATCTTTATTGATCACTTAATGCTTGTCTGTCTATCCATCCCCGCAGCTCCGGTGGTAAAGTATAAAATGAATGGCAATGGAGTTCCTCTGCCTCTGTAAATGTACCTCGCTCCATTTAAATAGAGCTGCAAATTATGTTATTGACACAGAACTACATTAGGAGTGTACTGAATAGAGCATATAAAGGTCATGTACCTACTACCAATTCCATTCCCATTATGTGAGCTTCACTTGCTAGGCTTTGACACTGGGTTGTTGACAGTTGTTGCATCAAGTAAGCCTTGGAGAAGCATCTCCATCCATTGTCCACACGAAACCGGGCATGTCTAAGCGACACCCAGCAACACTACGGTATATATAAAGTTTTTCCACGGGACAACTTTCGGGCCTTATATTTGGGTGACCCCTCTCGTCTATAACTTCAACATTAAGTTTGGGAAACTTCTGAGCTAACAATTTGCATGCTCCAAAACTCACCAAGCAAGAAGACATCCAAAGGGATCGCATTGTCTCGAGCTTTGCAGCATTCGCCAAAAGAGCTTTGTCACCGAAAGGACAGTCCCTAATCTCCAGCTTGCGAAGACTATCACATCCGGACAACACATGATGAAGTGCTAAATCAGTATCTCCAGCAAATGCCACAGATAGCATCTCTAGCTTCTTGCCATAATTCCCAATGTACTCAAAACATCTATCTGTAAGAAGGCCAGAGAGGGAAAAGCGTTGGAGATCCTTGCAATGCTCAACAATGGCACCAAAGCCCACGTCAAGCGGCTGATTTGTGAGGTAATCAGGAGTTCGTGGCTCCATAATACAGAGACGAAATCGTGTCATGTTTGGTCGATTTCTGGCAATGGTCACTAAGGCAGCATTTGTCATTTGACGACAGAAGTACAGAACGGATTGGAGCTTTGGGCAACCTTCAGAAACAGAGACAAGACCCTGTTCTGTCAAAGACACATTTGGTTCTGGACCATATGGTTCAGATGGAAACACTCTTAATTCTCGAAGATCCTTGCAAGTATCTGCAAGGGCTTCAAGGCCAGAATCTTCAATGTAATCCAGCACCTGCAGTTACAGTGCATCTTGAACTAAGACCATTTACAAAGATTGAAGCTAAACATAGCACTACGTTGAAGGGAAATGCACTATTAGAAGGAGAAAAAAAGGATAAGGAAATACCCAAAGCTTTTGCAAATTATGGCATTGACTTATAAGCTTGGTAAGATCGTCACTCTGAATTGTGGCATAGCTCAAATTCAAGGATGTTAGCCTAGAGCAAGTGGGATAAACGGAAGGAAGGTATGCAGGAACCACATCCCAAAATCCAGATAAACTTTTCAATTCTGTACAGCTTGTGAATGCTGTTGTTAAGTTCGAAAAAACATCAGATCTCAAGTCCGCTGTGTAGCATCCCGCACCAAACTCAACTAGCTGTGGTGCTCGACGAAGTAGGTTGGGATGCCTATCAAGGGGAACAGGACGGTTGAGCCACAGTGTCCGTAAGTTTGGACACCTATCCACGAGACGCTCCAATGCAGAAATACTCACCTCAGACACCAAACAGGCAATATTGAGGGATACAAGTGACGTATATTTATCAGGAAAATGGCTGAGCCAATGTCCACTCAGATCTTCCACATCACTCTCTCGTAAGTCTAACACTCTCAAATTCCTGGATCAGTCAACAATCATCCGTATAAATTCAAGGAATAAAGACTTCAAAAGCTGAAAGAAAACACACTAACGCACAAGAAAAACCCACGTCTTCAATGATAAGGAGACCATTTAAAAAATAAAAACCCTAAAACGATGTGTCACCCATCACTCAATTCTCAAGAACTATGCAACATCCACAAAATCGTCCCATAAGCTTAACAAAAATAGAAAACCATGTAGCCTTGTGCAGTATCAAAATCATTCACTTGACAAATAGTAGTCCCCAACCCAACAATCAACTTGTAAGCCACAATGATAAATGAGACACTGATCTTCGAAATCAATAAATTTAAGCCGGAAGATTAACAAGTCAAAGAAAAAAACGAGACAATGCAGCCAAATTGAACACTTGGCACAAAGATACCAGCTAGAAATTCTTTTAATTAACCTTAGATCTTCAAGAAAGAGAAAACGAAACTCAAGTTCAACGCAGAATTTAAGTTCAAGGAAGCTCGAGACAAACTAGATCAGACTAATAATATCCTTAACAATCACTGTGTACCAAAACAAAACAGGGTTATGGTTCGGTAAGAAAAGACAGCAAGCGAACCAGACTGATGGATCCCTTATCCGAAAGAAAGTAACAGCTTATCCTCCACAACATCCCTCCGAACCCCACGCCAGTCCCCCAAAAAAGGGAAAGAACAAGAAGAATAAATGGATAAATCTACTCATAAAAGACATTTTAAGCCTACTGCGAATAGAAGACCTCGAAAGTTCCCAGTGAGCTAAATTTGAGCTAAGCTCAGCTCAGCTTAGCTCAATGGTGTTTGCTCATCCCACCCAAAATAACATTCCACAAGATATGAAATTCTGTATTAAAAGAAAAGAGAATCCAACAACAGCAAACCAAGAAAAAGAACAAAAGATTAAACTGTCTCAAGACGTGGTACTCTCTCTCATTCACAATGTTCACTCTAACCCTGTTTCCCCATTTCCCACACTCGCAAGGCCCTCAAAACGGAAGCCAAAAACAAGAGAACCAAAGAGCCACAAACCTGCAATTGGCAGCAATGGCCGCAAGCCCATCAGTACTGAACCCCTCACAAGTCATCAACACAAGAACCTTAAAATTCTTAAAAGACTTGGAAATGAGCTCCAAGCTCTCATCCGTAACCACCATTCGCTTCAACTTGATCTCCTCCAGCAAAGGATACGCAGAAGCCATAGCCACGATCCAAGGATGAACATACCCACCCCAACCATCAGGCACCAAACTAAAATCCGCAAAGTGCGGCTTCCCCTTCAACTCCACAGATCTCACCTCCGGAAACCTCCTGATTACAATCTGAGGACTCACCGCATAACAGTTCCCAACAAAAATCCTCTTCCTACACCACCTCTCAATCTCATACCACGACTTACACACCATCGAGATCGAGTTTCTATCCTTATGACACTGTATAAACGAAAACACATGCTCCAACACATCCTCCTGAAACGTACTCGCCATTCTCAGCATCTCAAAAACACAACAAAAAAATTAGCCCTAATTTCTCCTTCCCTTCCTCACCAAGAAGAATGTCGCAGCTCTTAAAACCAGCTCAAAGCTCCTCACAACTCTCCACAGATTCGCAACAACAAAATAACAACAAAACAGAGTTCCTTAGATCTGAGACGCCATTGACGGACCTTCAAAGAGAATCAGAGAGAGAGAGAGAGAGAGGATAAGGTGTTTCCCTTTTTTTTTTTCCCCTTTTCTTTTTCTTTTAAATTCATAGGGTTTAAATTAATGGTGGACTAGTGAGGTAAAGAGTTTAACCACAGTTAAATAGTGGCGGGCAGAACAGAAGGGCAGGAGGAGAGATATTCATCGACGAACAAAAGAGAGCCACGTGTTAAAGAGAAGAATAGAACCGTCAGATCAATCAGAAATCTTATCCTGTGGCGGAAAAGGAGTGGCTGCAGAAAAATACGATAATTTGACGATACGATATATCGAGGGTATATCGGGAGATGGGGAGAAGAATGGGTTTTGTTAAAGTGTTACGTTGACGTACCAAAAGGAGGAGTCGAGTGTGCGGGGGAAAGGAATCTAATGATTCCGATTGCACGGCTGGATCTGAGAGATGTGGGCTCCACACACAATAACCGGGCAACAATTTTACTTTTCTACCCTTTTTACCCCCAATAATCTAATCATTTAATAAAACAAATGCCTAACTTCTATTTTACCATAACATTTTTTAGGGATAATTAATTAATAATTAATTAATTGGGATGATTTTATGTGAACTCTGGTATGATGACATCAGGACCGTCCAATCATGTGCCGATGGACTGTTTCGTTTGATTGATCATCACTTCATTAAATATTTATATCTAAAAATAATAACAATAATTGGTTTTTTTTAGGAGATAATAATAATTGAATCCATAATTTTATAAAAATTTTTACCTATTATAAAATAAATTAAGCTCACCCAAAATAAAATTACCCATTTTACCTTAGAATTTTTATGATCAACTTTTAATTTTTTAATATTTTTTAATTATTTTATCCTCCAACTCATTCTTATTTAGACGTAATATATAAATTCAAAATTAGAAGTTATATAAAATTTTAAAAACTCATTTTTGTATTTTTTTTTGAATTTAGGGAAGAATTCATGTTGTATTAAGAAAAATATGATAAGTTTTTTTTCTGGTATAAAAAATTATTTTAAAATGTAGAATTAAATATTAAATTAATTTTGAATAATTAAAAAAAATGCAAATTGGGACCCAAGTAGCCACCTATCTATATAATTTTGTCATATATTACCCCAAATTAAAAAAAAAATCCAAATTATCATATAATTCATGAAAATTGATTTTAATTATATTACGAAAAAGCCCACTCGTTACATCTCAATCAAAGCCCCCTTTCCCTTACCCTCTTTTCCCGCGTAGTACGGACATAATGGTAATTTTGTAGATTTCGAGGCCTACAAATGGACAAAATAAAATTAAATATATTTTTTTTCTCTTTTTTTTTTTTTGGGTTTAAATTTGCTTTTCTTTTTCTTTTTCTTTTTCTCTTTCACAGTTAACAGATAATAAAGCGGAAAAAAGATCGCCAATAGTTACTGCAACGAGCAGGAGGGATAGCCGAAATGACGAAAAAACCATGGACACATGGGCGGAGATGGAGGGCATTTCGGTCCGTGGGAGAAAAGGACATGTATTATGGGGCTGTGATGGTTCAGCACGGAGTGCATGGACCTGTCCCTTTTATATCCAAAAGCCGAGGGTTTCTGATGTACGGTGGAGATTGAGTTTGGTTCGAAAGAGAGATCTTGGCCGTTGGATTCCACCTTGGTGAGCGTCTTTATCGATGGCTACCCCGAAGCCTTGTCGCTATCTTAAACTGTTTTTTTAATTATATTTATTTTCTTTTATTTTTAATTTTCACAGTTTCAAATAATAATAAAATTATGTATTTTTCCTTTTTCCTTTGTATATTTAATTTAGTACCAACATAATTTATTTCAACTACTCAACTGTCAAATATAATTATTTTTCTTTACTTTATGACATTGACAATTAAGATTCTATAGCTATCAATAATAATGAAAATTTAAACATTATCGTATCCCGACCATTCTAGAGGTCATGTATGGGCCCGTTCTTTTGTCATTGATTTAAATATATTTCAAAATAATTTTGAAATAGTTAAAATCCCTTTTAAATATAATTTTATTTACTCAAAATCATTTTTATGATATAAAAATCTTAATCAAATGGTTAGTTGGTTTTAAATGCTAAATTAATAAATAATAATACCTATTATTTAACATTAAAAAAACAAAAAAAAATTAAAAAAATAAAAATTAGTGGCCTCAAATTTTTAAAAATTAAAAAAAAGTTTAGAGTGTTTTTTAAAATTTTAAAAGTATTTTTAAAATAAATTACTGATAATTTTTATTTAAAACTAATTATAAGAGTATTTGTTAATTTATTTATTAAAAATAAAATAATTTAAGAATTAATTTTGAGTGAGTTGTCAGTTGAATAGTTAATTAGTCTATAAAAAACCGTGATTAAGATTTAAATTACGATAATTTAAAGAATAAATAAAATTTAAAACAAATTAAATTGAAATTAATTAACATCCCCACGCATGGTTTCTCCGGGAATCTCTCTTACGCTCGAGTGCAGATGATTACTTTAAAAAAATTAAATTAAAATGTTTTTTTAATTAGGTAAACTAAATAAATTATCAATAAATAGGTAAATATTTAATTAGGTGTATTAATTAACAAATTTCCTAATTTTGTTTGTATTCTTTTATAAAAATAACCTCTGGGATTCCTTTTAGACGGATAAGTTGGCTCAAAAATTATAAACAAAATTCAATCAGTGTATTTATCAAAAATTTAAATTTAAATGAAATAAATAAATAAATAAATAGGAATAAAATAATCACAATTTTCAAAACACAATTTACTATTTAATAAAAAAATATATATTTTAGCTTAGTTTAACCAAATATATATATATATATATTATTATTATTATTATTTCCATATATAGAAATTAAAAAAAAATTAAAGTGACATTAAATTAAACATTAAATAATTTTTAAAATTTTTAAACTAAATTGAAGTAAATTTAAAAGTTTAACCAAGAATTTACTTTAAAAATAATAAATAATAAAAGATTAAATTAAATTATTTTAAATAAATTAATGGAATTAATATAATAATGGATGACTTTGTAGTAATTTTTTTTTTAATTATTATTATTTAAAAAAATTGTACGAAAGGTTGGGTTTGATTTGAAAGTTTGAGACCTGCTTGCACGTGACGTGGTATGTCCAATGCCCAAGGCTTTGAATTATAGATTTAATTAGTGGAATTAATTGCTAATTAATTTATGCCAACTCCAAGGTTTTATGTTAAACATATGATATTAATTTATTTTTAATTATACTTTAGTCTTGTAATTTTAATTTTGTTAAAAAATATTTTATATGGGTAGGGATATTTTAGTCATTTACTCGTCTGGCTCTTATCCGGACTCGTTACTCGTTTCTACGTAAGTCTTCCTGACTTTGTTTTTAGATTTATTTGAAAGGTCTCGTAACATTACGGTAGTACGAGTACTGTTCTCGTTACTTTGTTTCTTACTTCAACATCTTTTATGAATGATGTGGTGTTCCGAGGATTTGAACTTTGTTTCAGTAAGTTTTTAAAAATTAACGTTTTTGGTCATTGAGATTGAAAAAATAGAGTTTATTTCCAATTTATAATTAGTCCCTAAAGTTCGAAACTGATCCTTAGATATTGAAAAACATATATAACCAATTACAACGGTCATCAATCTGTTATATCGAAAAACGATCGAACAAAAACTGTATGTATAGATATTAAGTTCAAATTTCAGATGCAAAAAGTGTGAGATTCCACATTGGTTGGAAATGAGAACGAACGAAACATTTTTTTTATAAGGGTGTGGAAATCTGTCTATAGTAGTCACGTTTTAAAATCGTGAGGCTAACGACAATACATAGCGGGTAAAAACGGACAATGTCTGCAAGCGGTGAGCTCAGACGGTTACAAAAAGTATATTTTTTAACCTAAAAAATTATCGAGCCACTAGATAGAGGAGAGAGAAAGTGACCCATAAACCCTAAGTTTTATTAAAATAGATATGAGATTGGTTTATAAAGTGTGGACCACCAAAACTTTATTAGATTGAAAAAGACTTCTAAACAACTATATAATATATATATATATATATATATATATATATAAATAATGAATAAACTTTGTACTAATAATCAATTATCCATGAATATACCAAATATCTTATGATTTGACACTTACCCTTATAATTATTATATTTCCCCTTTTCCCCCCTTAAAAAACCCACCGTCTTTCCAAACTTTTTGTTTAATTACAAATAGTGCCCATTTTTGTGCCCATATTGATATTTACCAACTCTTGAAGCCCAAAGAGCAAAAAGAAATCTAAAGTGAGAGTTTGCAAATTAGTCCTTCCCTTATATGATAATAATGATTCAATTTTCCTAAATGAATATAATGAATCTTTAATTTTTGTCATCAATTAAAAGCGTTTATTTTTGTTTTTTTTTTCTCTCAAATTATTATTATTATTATTATTTATCTTTTATTTATGCCAACAAATATATTAAAAAATTATAAATGTTTTAAATGAAATTTTAGTATTTTACAACCATTTTTTTTAATATTTATGAAAACGTCCATAAAATTACTTTAATTAATGTAAACAGCTCATTATTTCTCAAATTATATAATAAAACAACTATAAACTTTTAGTGACATATTAATAACTATACGGAGGTTATAAAATTTTTTAATTTCATAAATATTTTAAATTATTATTGAGAAAAATTTACTAATAATAACATCCTGACTTTTTGTTTAAAATTTTCATTGTTTTTGCTCCAAAATACTTTAAAAATATTTAAAAAATGGTAAAATTCATAGTTTTTTTTTTTTTTTAATAAGCAAAATTATATAAATAAAAAAAAAAAATGAAAAGTAAGATTTGAATTGCTTTAAATTGAGTATAATTATTATTATATAAAAAAAGGTAGAATTATTATTATTATTATTATTATTATTATTATTATTATTATTTTGGCGTTTAGGGAGGCCCTAGAATGATAGGGTCTATAGTTCGTAGGGGAGGTGGCTATAAAAAAAATTAAAAAAGACTGAGTCCAATCAAAATCTTTTCACTCCCGCTTTTCCTCCCTCATTCTTCAACTCTTTATTTATTTATTTATTTATTCTACATTTATTATAACAATTAATTAATTACTCTTCATTTTTTACATTATTATTTTAAAACTCACGATTAGTAAAAAAGTTATTTTCTAATATAATTTTTATTAAAAAATGGTAAAGATTCAAATGTAATATAAAAAATTTTAATATTATTTATTGGTAAGGTTAAAAATAAGAAAAAAAATTGGAATTTTCATGGAATTGGCAATATTTTGAACCTAATTTCGGTGCTATTAAATGGTGTCGGTGACACGTGGCGAAGTGGATAAAAGGGCAGTTTTACTAAACTTTTGGTGCCTCCATTGTTATTTCAAATTGTGCTTCTGCATGCTGTGCTATTAAATTTTAAAGTTTATAAAAAANAAAAAAAAACTTATTTTTTACAGCTGGGTTTTAATTATTATTATTATTATTATTATTATATTTGTTTGTGGAAAAATAAAATATTCATATTTTAAAATATATGAAATTATTAATATTTTACTTTTTTTAATTAACTTTTTGTGCATGGGTGGTCTCATTTTAGCCGTCTTATTTTGACTATTTTTATATTAAATGAGTGAGACGTGTTTGTGAATTAATTTGATTTTTTAATCGTAAAAATACCATATTTATTAACTAATATTTTTAATATTTTATATTTGAATATAATTTTTATTTCATCCTAATGTTATAAAAATTCGAAGTGGTACCTCACAATCCATTCTTATGGGGTCCAGCATCCTCAACACTGTTCAGTTTATGGTACTGATATAACATGTGTAATAGCCAAAACCCACTGTTAACGGACATTGTTCGCTTTAACGATTTTAACATGTCATTTTTTAAATGTGTAAAGATAAGAGAGACGGATTTCAAATCTCGATGACAAAAAATTGTTAGGTTTACGAACCCGGAACCTAATAAAAATTATGAATCATAAACTAAATATTTGTTTCAAATATGCTACATAATTACAACCACAAATTATTATTATTTATAATTATCAAATAATAATAATAATATGAAATTATGATGTAATTATTAAGAGTATTCATAAATGTGACATCTGAAAGTAAATGAATAAAAATAAATGCAATAAATTAAAATTAAATAATTTATTTTTATTTGGGGGGCAGTTCAATTAATTCAATTTAGGTAATGGAAAATCAAAGGACAAGACACTAAAATTAAATGCATCAAAATTTAGTTAATGGGAGTGTTACATCATTGGCTATAATGGAAACTCTGATGGGACCCACTAATAAATATTATTTTATTTTTCATTATTTTCTAATTATTTTCTGAATTACATTTTTTATTTTAAAATATAGTATTTTAGATTATAAACTACTAAATTAAAATATATTTTTAAAAATCATTTATGCATCGGCAGTTCTTTTCTTTTGACGGGTCGTCGTGTGGGGCCCACAAATAGATCGGACGGCTGAGGAATTAATTTTGAATCTTTTTTTTTTTTTTTTTTTACTATATCTGACGTGTCCATATGACTGTTCCATGGCCCCACACGTGTCTTTTAGGTCTACAATATTGGCTTCGCCGTCCCGTTTTGTGATTACCACCAACCTTTGTTTTTCTTTTGTCATTTTTATCTTTCAAATTACCATTTTACCCCTCTACAAACTTTAATAATATTTTTTATTCTTTTATTTTTCACATTAGATAATCCCAAAACATTTATAGAACTAGTAATTTAGTTTCTAAATTAGCTTGATTTGTGTCCGGTTAAATGACACCACGATCTGTATGGGTCATGACCTCATCGTCTATTTATAAATGTGCATAATAACAATTACATGGTGGGCCTTGATTATTATAGATGTGTATAATGAGGATTACCCGGCTTCATAAACTAAAAAATCAGTAGATTCTCTTTTATACATGTACATTGTAATAGACAGTAAATTAGTAGATTCTCGTTGATGCTTGGTATCAATAAATTATTTTATTATGTAAAGATATAACCTATTCTACATTTAACACGGTGAAAACTAAGTTAAGAAGATTTGTATGAGCGATAAATTAAAGTCAAGCAAAATAAATGACTAAGATCCCGCTGGTATTAATAGTTGAAACTATAAATAAAAATATTAATATATTAATTATAGTCACGTCAATAATTTTATATTGAAATAAAAGCATAGTTTAAAGTTTTATGTTGCCCTAAGTATTTAAACTTATTATTTTCATATATCATTGTACACGTACTTTATAATAATAATGCTAGAGAATAACGTGTTTATGTACTATATTAAGATATTAAGAATTAACATATTTTGTTCTAAGAAAAAAAATATATATATGGAACTTAATGGCTGAAGTGGACTTGGGCCCATCAATCTAATTGTAGTTATTGGGCTTATTTCGAGGGCCCAATGCCCGACAACATTGGGCTTATGATTCACTAAAATTAAGAAATTTCGGTGAGCGGCTTGAATTTTCGAAATTTGTTTAATTGACTTTTTTATTGGATAAATGACTAAATAATATATTAAAATATTAATTAGGATTTAGAATGGAATAAAATGCCATCTAGAAAAATAGGAATTACAAAGTAATTCAAAATAAATAACCAGATTTCTTAAAAAAAATGGTTCGAGGTTTGAGTTTTAACTTGTTATAGGTTTGATCTAGTTTAAAATTTCATACACGAAAATGCCTCGAGCGTCCCTATGTCTTCAACATGCATCGACCATTATAGTTGTCCATTTTTCCAATAAAGGTTGTCATAGAAACCGGGCCGAACTTCTACCTAGCAGCCTCCATAGAACTATATCGTGGTAATATAGACCTAAGTGGTCATATTGGATCAAAACATTCATTAGTTTCAAATAAAGAACGAAACCCCTTAGTTAGTAATATGCTTCTTTCGCCACTTTCGCCACTCCATTAGTGGCTCAGCTTCGTCCTAAACATAATAAGTTGTTTGCTTACCAAAGGCTCCCTTAATACGATATTCCATCACAATTTTGTCAATTGTCCGATTCTGTTCTATATGCCCATATGAGTCATCTCGTACTGGTCCTTACTTTTAATAAATCGGAGCATAGCCAATTTCTCGTTGATGTCGATCTCTTCGCTAAAATTACATCTTTATCCTCATATGATACTTCCTCAAGAAAATGGTTCAAGGAGCGGAAAAAAAAAAAATACTAATACGACTACCCGACACGAGAATTAATCAGAAATTAGGTGTTAAAATAACGCATCAATATTAAATTTATTAAAATTTTGGAGGAAAAACAGAGAATCAGAAATTGAGAAATCCCATCAATGGTGCTCAAAATGTGACAGAAAAATATAAAAATATAAGAAAGCATAATTTACAACATACTCAATTCACCGTTCTTCAAGCTGCTATCTTTGGAAGTTAACAGTCTCTGTACTACCAGTGTTTCCGGAGCCTCTCTCATTCTTCTCATTAATATCCTCGCCATAAATCCAAAACTGAGCTGCTGAACTTTCTATCAACAAAAAAATATCACATCTTCAGGTTCACACACACACACTTCTTGCTGCATTATGATCACAGAAATAGTTAAAGAAGTTTTGATCGTGTGAGTAACGAATGCAGTCGGCCGAACCTCTAGAGTGTTGAGAACTTTTTCTGACTTTACCTATGTTTATGATATGGTGGGGAATATATCAGAGCTTGTTGGCGAATGCTTTCGAGCAACACTAGTACATGGTGAAGGAAATGACAAGAACAATTGGGGTACGAGCGAGAGGATAAGGGATTACATTGGCCAGGTAAGAGGGAAGCCACTAAACTAGGTTTCACCGGAGATGAAAAATAAAGCCGAGGAAATTTGGAGCGAATAGGTGTATCAGCCTAAGCCTAAGCCCAAGCCCAAGCCCACCGCTAGCAAATATTGTTCGATTTAGCTCGTTATGTATCACCTTCAACTTTACGGTTTTAAAACGTGTCTGTTAGGGAGAGGTTTCCACATCCTTATAAGGAATGTTTCATTCTCCACTCCAACCGATGTGGGATCTCACAATCCATCCCTCTTGGGAGCCCAGCGTCCTCGCTGGTACACCTCTCGCTATTCGGCTATGATACTATTTGTAACAGCCCGAGCCCACCGTTATAGTAGATATTGTCCTCTTTAGGCTTTTCCTTCTAGACTTCTCCTCAAGGTTTTACAACCGTGTTTGGGCCGTTACAAGAGGCCTATAGTCAACCCAACTGTCCTCCCGAAAGTATGTATTCCTACTCCCTGCCGAGCATTTAATAAACTGGGAGATAAAAGTTTGGAGGGGGTAGAGGACTTGAACCTCCTCACTCTTCTGCATCAGATTTTGTGACTCAAAGGTTTATCATTCTAACCCGAACATCGATTCTAGCATGCCACACAGTCGTCATTGAACTCATATGTCAATCTACATTCTCATTAACTTCCTAAGGCTAAGGCTAAGGGTGGGGTCGCTCATGGCTCAAACTAGGTGGCAGGAAAAAGATCGGACTTGGGAGAATCTTTGGAAGTTTTAAAGATCTCTGATTCTACATACGTGATGGAACCTAAGATGAAGGGTGTTTTTGAATTCTGAGATGGTCGTTTTTAAGAGCTATTTAATTGATAATGAACTCAACGAGATTAATGAATGATAAAGATACTGATACATGAACCTACCTTAAATTTAGTCTCTGAGGTTTCAAGAAAGTTATAATTTAGTCCCTACGGTTTTAAAAATTAAAATTAGTCTCTATGGTTTGATAAAATCCTCCCAAATAGTTCTCGTCGATAAAACTCTTAATAAGATTCTATCAAACCATAAAGATGAATTCTAACTTTTCAAATCATAAGAACTCGATGAAAGCTACATTACGCTCGTAGAGACCTCAAAAAGATGGCATATGGGTCGAGAGAGAAGGTACCTGAAAGGACTGACTAAGCGTTCGTATAACAAATCAATTAACTTTGCATCGTGCTACACCCCTGCGGCAGCTTTAGCCTCAGAATCTGACTTTTCCTAACAGATGTAGCCCAAATGATCTTAGTAGTTCAAGATAACAAAAAACGCAATATGGTTAATCAACGCAGGCTAGTCATTCTCAACAAACCTCGGGACTTCTCCGAATCTTCCTTGTAGGAGTCCGCATTGTGACAAATTCTTCAGCGGCTGTAGGATGAATGCCCACCGTTGCATCGAAGTCTGCCTTGGTCAGACCCGCTTTCACAGCCACTGCAAACCCCTGTCCATTAGCACCGAGCACCATGAGCTTCGGAATCAATATCAGTAAAAGAGAGAGATAAAGCATGCTGATGTATAGGTGCGTGTTACCTGCATAATTTCTGGTGAATCATCACCACACATGTGTATTCCTAAAACTTTATTCGTCTTTGCACAGACTACAAGCTTCATAAAAACTCGGTCAGGGAGCCCGGAGAGTGTAGCCTTTAAGGGCCGGAAGTTGGCTGTGTAGATGTCGACATCACCGTGTTTTTGTATGGCCTGCATTGCAATTATTGAAATGTTAACAACACAACTTAAAGCATATCGACACCAATATTTTAAACACGAAATCTCTTCTTACCTGCTCTTCAGTAAGACCGACGGTTCCAATTGGCGGCTGAGAGAAAACAGCACAAGGAACAGCACTACGTAAAGAGTAAGACGTTGAAGAAAATATTACCAACAAAAAGATAGACCAAAAAAGATTATAGATAAGAGAAATATGCACTTTAATGTTCACTTTTATTCCAATTGTTCAACAAACTTCTTCATATTCCAATTGTTCTTCCTGTAGATTTCCCTCACTCTTCCCCTTAAAATTCCGCCCTTCCACTTGCATTTGTGTTTGGGGTCGAGTAATTATCTGGTGAGTTTAGTCGAGGTGGGCACAAGCTAACCAGAACACTCGTGATATCCAAAAAATAAATAAATAATCACAATTCAAAGTTCACGTTTCCTTCCTACAAACCCGCCCGCCTCTCAGTTACATCCAATTACTTCATATCATATTTTCAATACGAAGAAACAGTCGAAGATAAGATCATATCGAGCAGTAAAGACAACATTCCAGAGAGTTCTTGAGATCACAGAAAACCACTTACTAACAAATCATCACAAGATAGTTACCTATAATTCGGTTTTGTAGGCTCATTCTGAAATATAGTTTTAGCTAATGCTCCTCCCTCCATTAAAGCAACAGGAGTCAGGTTGATTCGATCTGTAACATCTCCAATAGCCCAAATTGAAGGAACTGATGTACGTGAGTATTCATCAACCTGAAAAGACAGAAAAAAAGGGCTCATAACAGATTTAAGCAAAGGAAATAAACAATAAGCAAACCGAGTCGCTACCTCAATTGCTCCATTTTTGGTCATTTTTACTCCGACTTCCTCCAACCCCAAATTCTGCAAAAAAGTATGAGTAGCATTAATAAGGTGGTTAAAGAAATATTAATGGCAATGTTCAAGCATGCCTCGAGGACATATCCACTGTTAATTCGTGCATTAGGAAACTCTTATCAATATCGTGCTATTGCACCTTTGTATTAGGCCTGCGCCCTGTTGCAAACATAACATGTGAAAAGCCTTCAACTGTTCCTTTGTTAGTCTTCAGAGATAATGACCCATCTGCTGATTTAAGGATAGCTTGTGGTAACTCCTCTGTATGGAACTCAATTCCTCTTAGAGACATCTGTTCTCCAATAAAATCTCTAATCTAGAACAAGAAATGAAAATAAACATGAGAGCTTTGAAGTGAAGGATAATTGACAAGCGAGCAAGAATAGAACCATCTTCAATATTTCACCTCTTCATCAAAGCCTCTTAGCACTTTACTCTGTCGTATAAATACATGAACTTCACTTTTCAAACCATTAAAGATACCAGCAAACTCTAAAGCAATATATCCACCTCCAACTATGGCAATCTTCTCGGGTTTGGATGGCAATTCAAGGGCAGCATCAGAATCTATGGCATACTCACTGCCAGGAATGTCGGGAATGAAAGGGCGCCCCCCAACTGACACTAGAATGTGCTTAGCTGAATAAAGTTTTCCATCTACATGAACAGTGTGTTCGTCCACAATCTGTAGACATTTTGTTGAAATGGATGCAATTAACATTTGAATAACAAGTCTAAAATACAAAACTATGTGAGCTGGATCTTAAGAGTTAAAAGAGAAATAAAATGTCTTGAGCATTTCAAAATTTTCTGAGATAAAACAGTGTTCGAAAAGTAGAACGATAACATTTAATGCTAAAATCATGAATTCATAGTGTCACCCCACCTTTCCACGGCCTTCCATCAATGTGACACCAGCATTTTTCAGAACATTTTTGTAGATACCAGTTAGTCGATTTAATTCAGCATTCTTGTTAGCAATCAAGGTGCTAAAGTCATGCTTTGGTTCAGTGTCATATTTCCATCCAAAGCCATGACTCTCTTCAAATTCATGTGCATATTTTGATGCATATACAAGTAGCTTTTTTGGTACACATCCACGAATAACACACCTGGCAATCTAATTGTAAGATAACGCACATAGGAGCTGAAAAACATTCAATTTTAAGAACACACCATCACACGGACAAAATGACATGTCATTTTCTATAAAATAGAGACTAAGTACATGCTTCGTCCATAACGTTTGGTATTATAATTAATCGTCTTTTCTATATAAAAAGTTTCGATTTAGTCACTTCCAGATTATCACTTTTCAATGTACTCCCTTGTCATTGATGAATCCATAATAAACTTTGATGACATAATATTGGTATATATTCTAAAAAGAACTATATATTTTAACGATCTTCCTAATAAAAATTCATTTCAGTAAACGATAGCTAAATTTAAACATTATATGATTGAAGTAATGAAACATATAATGCTTCAAAAGATGGATGAACTACTTAAATACTTCTAATATGTAATTGATAAACATTTACTAAACGATTTAACATTTCACTCCATAACCTCTCCGTTCTCCCTCTTTAGGGTACGAAAAAAATAAGTACTTCCATGTTCTCCATCTTTAGTGAATCTACAAGGCATGGTAATGAGATATCCCAAGACAAAAACAACCAAGGACAGGGAATCAATACCGAACCAGCACTTCAATTCAACAGGTAAACACACCTTAACTTAATAATTAAGTCATCTCCTCCCAACAGCTGTAGGTTCCAATCCTCAACCCCATGTTTGTAATGTAATAATCTTTTAAAAAAAAACATCTCTATCTCTCTCTCACAACAGAACTGCCTAGAAGAGCAGCAAGACTATCCAGCAAACCTCCCCAACCCCAAAATGTATTGAAACCATGTAGTTTTTGATAAACATAAAGGATAATAACCATGAGCGACCAATTCCTAAATTCTTATTTAAAAGTCCAAGCACTCGTCCAGTTCATACCCTGAAGACATCAAACGTTTTCCTTATTAACCTCACCTAATGATTCAAACTTGTGAAAACTTTCCTTGGGGCTCCTAAATCAAAGCTACCCTTCAAAACATTTCTTTCATACAGCCAGTATACATTGAAAACACCTCAATTCAATTCAGATATAGTCAAGTTGCATAGGATCAAATTAAAAAGAAATTTCAAACTTACGTCCCACCAACACCTCCAGCGGTATCCGACGATATGGTTGAGAAAGGAAGCTCACAAACCGCCACCGAGGCACCAAAATTAGCAGCAAAACGGGAAGCTCTCACACCGCCACTACCCGCACCGATAGTAAAGAGGTCAAAATCATAAGGTCGAACACCTTCGATGCCATTGTTAGAGTCGGCCCGGACTACAAAGCCACGGCGGTGGCAGTGGAAGCGATTATTGGTGAAGTGGGTCAGAGGAAGGAAACGGTGGCAGTGGGGAAGAGAGGGTAAAGGCTTGGGAATTGAGACAAATGAAGAGGATAGAGAAACGGGGAGGTTTTTGCAGAGAAGGGTGTGAAGAGTTTGGGAGGAAGAGAGAGAGGTCGCCATTTTTTGTCTCAACGGAGCGCTTAACGGCACGGCGGTGCGATTCAACAGAGAGGGAGATAGGAAGAGAAGAAAGGAAAAGCGATGCCGATGGCCGTCGTGGGGTAAAAGAGAGGAATATATGAAGGAGAAAGGAAAAGTGGGAAAAAGACAAAAAGATGTAGATGTGCGGCTGCGAGAGGGATAGTGTAAGATTTTTTTTTTTTTTTTTTTTTTTTTTTTTTTTTTTTTTTTTTTTTTTTTTTTTTCAATAGTTCAATAATATGTATATTTTACACTTCATTTCCTTCTCTTTTCAAAATTCAGAATTTCTAAATTTTTAAAAATTAACTCCTCTATTTTAGACTAAATTCAACTTTTTATCTCTAAATATAAAAATTTCAAAATTTCAAGTTGGTATCTTCCTAAGTTAGTAGAGTAGCACCGACTTGACTTATCGTAAGGTACAATACCGAGTCTTTGAAGGGAGAGGAGCGCAGCAACGAGACCGTCAAATAGCTTTACCTTGTTCAGTCAAGAAGGCAGAGTAAATTCAATCCTCAGCTGCTTTACTTTACCCATTCCGCCCATTTCATCGAGATAAACAAGACGTATTCTGACTCACCATAACAGTAAACATTTCTATCTTATTGCAATTTTTACGATCACATCTTAATATGTAAGTAAAATATTTCGATATAGAGAAATAGAGTAGGTGGGTAAACATGGTTGATTTTTTTGTCACAATAATTTGATAAATTCTATTCAATTCTTTCTTGCCATATTTTGAAAACACATCTAAATTTGGTCATTCGTGTTATCAGCCCATATTGTTCAAATGTCTATGTACAAAATACACTATTTCCCTCTTAGTGTAGGTATTGTACATGAGTTAGTTAATCAATATATTGGGTATTCTTTTATGCATGTATCAACTAATTTCTCCTTAACAAGTCCTCGCAAATCATGTCTAAACTCAACTGTTGTACATTATGTATAAAGTCGTCTTCGTGATTCGCCTATTCAAAAGAGGGATTCATTGAAATAAACGTGAACTCATCATTTGAACAAATTATACGAGTGACTTAGAATACGTACGTCGTATGACGAAAGGGCTCTAAATACAAAAGAATGATGCATTTTACCCGACTAATATTCGTCTTTTACATCAATGCTACAATGGCTTCAACGGCTATTTCCAGCCTTATATTCTGCAAAACTTTTTGCTCCTCTTATTCAATAGCAAAACGATTTGCAATGCAAATAAATACGAGGAGAGTACAATGGAAAAACCTGCATTAAGGACTCAGAAGACTGCGGTCGAGCCAACTCCCATGGCCTGCAACATCTAAGCGAGCAGATAGTGAAACCATATCTGCAGGGTAAATTTTTAGATCAAGTAGCAATGTTTTGTGTGACTATGCCCAAAGAAGTCCCTCAAAACCTATTTCCGAATTGGAGATTGGACTATCACCGTAGTTCTGATTAGTTCCTTTGTCGTCTCCTGATATATCTACGTATGGCTCCAAAAGATCCGAGGACCTTTCGGAAGGAATACCATAATCTTTGAGTATACAAGATGAAGCTGCAATAGCAGATTCCCTCTCAAGAACGGCAATGTAGTTCTCGTCGAATTCGAAAACCAAGTATTTGTCCTTGCAGGCTGAAGAAATGTCAGACCATCATTGAAAAATGATGAAGTTGAGGAAAAAGAAAAAAGGCTGAGGACTGAGATTACACGAACTTACTGTCAACAAGGTGTGCTAAGTGATGAATATTTCTGATTTGAGTTCCATTCAGCTTTACAACCTGCAGTAATGTCATAAACATCATTTATGAATATTTCTACGGGGATTCGTATCTCTCACCTCTTGTTCAAGAGTATATACCTTATAGGTAGATGAGTTAATGCTAAAGTTGGCAATAACGATTAAGTTTGTACCTCTGACCTCTTGGTCAAGAGTATATACCTTATAAGTAGATGAGTTATGCTAAAATTGGCAAAAACGATTCAGTTCGTACATCTGACCTCTTGGTCAAGAATATATACTTCATAAGGAGATGAGTTAATGCTAAAGTTGGAAATAACGATTAAGTTTGTACCTCTGACCTTTTGGTCAAGAATATATACCTTATAAGTAGATGAGTTAATGCTAAAGTTGGCAATAACGATTAAGTTCGTACCTCTGACCTTTTGGTCAAGAATATATACCTTATAAGTAGATGAGTTAATGCTAAAGTTGGCAATAACGATTTTGTTTTTAACTTTCCATTTTTGAAATTTTTGGCTTGGATTTCAATTTTCAACTATATTTATATTTATGAAAAGCTAAAAAAAAAAAAACAAATCAGTAAACAAAATAAATTCTAAGAATAAAATCATGATCAAACTAGAGTTTAATGATTCAAGTAAACTACCTGCTGATTCCCCATATCCTCGTATCCAATGTTCACTTCATTTGCCAGGACCTGAGCGTGAAAAGATGTCGATTAAGATTTAAAAGGAAACAGGAAATAATTAACTTCCTGAGATAAAAACCAAGTTGATGTGATTTATTTTGTCCTCAATGCAAGCAAGGAAATGAACTTTACGATGGAAGATGAGGTGTTTTGGAAGATAATGTACTCCAAAATCCATAAATTAGACATGCATTATCTCAACGATTTTGACGCTTGTGGTTAGAACAGGATTATAATTTCTAAATATATTATGTTATACATGTTTTAATTTTGACAAAAATGAAACGAGTTTAACTTAAGATAGTATATTTATCAAAAAATAATATAGTATAATTACGCGTTTTGGAAAATAAATCCACCCATTAACATCCAGACTTTTGTACAGTGAATCTGAAACAAAGAAACATAATATCTAGATTCATTCCCAACGATCCTCAACATTAGATGTTTGTGGTTAAAATCAAAGTTGCAACTTACCTGCGACAGGATCACTATTTGTTCCCCTTCGAAACTTGCTGAGGAATAGCGTGCCTTCGCCAGTAGTTTCAACTAATCAAAAGAGAAAATGAAAAATAAAACGTCCAACTACGAAAAAAAGTAATGGAAACAGCTTTGACTTCTCGATTTCTGACTCAAAAAGTCTCATCAAGTAACCTACCCCAATAGAATCTTCACATTCCTCGCTGTAGAAAAGGAAATAAAATATTTTGAATTAGTATATGCATGAAAAATGTAAATGTGTTGCGAGAAAAGAACGCAATTCAAGAGCAAGTACTAAATTACAGCATACTCTATTAGAGGTTCAGAGAGTGGAGTAAACACCAAACCAGCAATTATTAGATAAGAGGGCTGACCACCATCAACGTGAAAGGGAACCTTCAGTTAAGTGCATGACAAAACCAATCAGAACAATGAATTTACAAACTAAATTGAACTCCATGGGCATCGACTCTGAGCGTACCAAGTGCACGCGAGGATTGAGAATGACTTTAGCTTTGATATGCTCTCCTGATCTAATAATACCAAGCTCTGCAACATCGCCAGCGAATCTGTAAACAATGTAATTAATTAATGACTCAAATTAATTTATAACTATAGCAAAGTCATGTTTTCCACATCTATAGCAAAGGATTCGAGTACTTTACTTTTGACTAATAAGGTAACGAAATGCTATGCGCTCATTTGTCCGGAAAGGTACTGTTCCTTCGCATCCAACTTTAATATCATTGAAGCTAACAATTACATCTCCCTGAAAACAAAATAACCACCATCAATTTCCTGGACCCCACAACTTTAAATTTCAGTTCGTAAATTTAAGGGCTGAGAAACCTAAGTTGTGCAGTGTGTATTTGGTTTGTGCTGAGATCAGATTTTCAAAAGCCTATATTCGGTTTGTGATTTTGAACTCCATAGTAGGTAGTTTAAGTGTTCCAAAAGATGATAATGGTTTTGCTATTAATTATGGTTTGTGATTTTGAACTAGACAAAGGCTCAACTAGAAATGTCAAACTCACGGACTTTAAAACCCTTATCTCAAATGCCCTCTTATTAGAACGTAGTTTTTTTTTTTTCTAGTGGACTATTCAATCTCTTCAAGTACATATAGTTAGTCGAGTCACAAATTGTGGCTGAAAGCTATTTTAAAATTGACATAATAATATTTCTGGTTGTAGATATTGTCAAGGAATTTGCGTCAGAACTCATTTCAAGGGTCCTCCACGATGGACAGACATTCAAATGCAAAAATCCTTCATGACGGAAGCAACGAAGTTGAATTTCACACGCTGAGATCCTTTTATTCTATTAATTTTCCACCAAACATGAGACATAAAGCTTAATTACCAGTGAGCAATTGGATTTCCACATGCGACGTGTGGTTCTCCATGAATTTAAGCAAGTAAAAGAACATTCTCATACAATAACCTCCAGATAATGTTATGCATACCTCTTTCAGGACATTATTAGCATCAGATGTGGGCTCTACTCTTCGAACCAATACACCCTAATTGACGATGATATCAGGTCAGAAAGGCAGTAGGAAAGGAGTAATCACTTGAAAAATATAAGGGCATCAAGCACCCACAATGGAAACAAGAGACAACTTAAAGCAAACCTAAAACCATATTTGCTGACAGTATGCATCCATTCTATATAGAAGATATATGATTAAAAGTAACTCTCACAAATATATCCAAAAAACAGAAATTTTTCTAGCCTATATGCGAAGCATATTTTCAGAAAAGACAGACCTCATTTGATTTCATTCTCAAACAAGCACGTAGTGCTGGATTTTCCAACTTCTGCAACAAAACTCCAAGGGAAGGAAAGCCTGAAAATTTTGAGTGTTTAGGTACATGCAGACTGCGGCATTGCACTACAAATACGATTATATGTATCAAAAAGTTAAGAAGCCTCACCAGTATATTTCCCATTCCTCTCATAGTCATTTAGAAAATGAGATACAACTGTAGTCGGAATAACATATCCAATGTTCTCAACATCATCAGACCTGTAAACCTAAAGGAAATTTCTTGTAAAGAAACCGTAGATAAAGAAAATATTGTTGCATAAGAATAGCAGGAATTTTCTGAACAAGAAAACAAAGTAAAATTATAGGTTATAAATAAAGTCAACTTGACAGAAAATCAGTCATGTACCGTACAACTTATCCAATAAAATGCAGATGGTAAAGAATAGGTTTTAACATTTAGGACAATAATGTCTGTTCATAGAGTGAATAAATAAAAAGAACTTAAAAAATCTACCTGAAATGCCACTCCAATGCATTCACCATGGTCGTTAAATGCAGGACCACCACTATTACCTAAAATCTAGCAAGAAGAAGCAGTAAATATCTCATAAGCAGGATTAATTTTTTAAGACTAAGAAGTACAATCTACTGACCAGGATTTATTGCAGCATCAATTTGAATGCCTAACAAATCTGATGACCCATGAGCATAGGACGTAACCTGATGAAATGAATTTCTAAGATACGTGGTATATTTTCTAATAACATCCAGAAATATAACCATGAAAGAAGGCAACGTGACAAATGAACAGTTAAGTAGTAAGAATCGGACAAGGGCTACCCACCTCTATACGTGACACAACTCCCCTAGTCACTGATATAGTGTCCCCTCCAAGGGGATACCCCACAACAGTCACAGCATCCTGCCGAGAGATGGAGCAAGAATTGAGCGAAAGATATAAGCCTATAGGATGTACATAAAGCAAAATAATGTAGATGATTTCTAACTAAACGATCTTCATATTTGGATTAGGAGGTATAGCTATCAAGAAAAAAAAAACATTTGAAAGATGAAGAAAATTTAGAACTTAAGAGGTCAAGGGTTGCCGGAAGTAGTAGTAGCAATGATATCAAAAATGCCATAAACTGGAATCAATCAATCAATCAAAGAGCCAAGTATGAACCTGAAGGCAAGGCAAATTCCCAAGCTTTAGTGGTTCAGCTCCTTTCCAAAAGTTCTCATTTTCAACTGAAAGTAAAGCTATATCACAATCAACTCCTCTGGCTAAAACCTGTGTATAACATCACTAAGAGGATGGTAAGCCCAAAGATTTTGCAAAAATCAATAATTATACAGCTTCAACCTAAACACCTGACTCAAACAATTGGTAGTCCATGAGAGTTTCTAGTGACACGAGCATCAAATTCAGAATATATTTTTCATTTACTTGAGAATATGTAGTTTATTATACAAAAGAAAGTATTATTACTTTCACTAATATGCAAAAAGAAGCTACAGAAGGAAATTACTTATAGAACTAGAAACTTTTCATTGATATAGTCAGAACCTTCACATAAACATCAAGGGATGAAATTATCGACATAAAGTCAGATCCTTCCCACCAAAAAGAATAAAGAAAGAAAAAAGGACTTTGTAAGAAAATCTACTTTAAGAAGGGGGAGAAAGTTTTACAGTTATAGACCTATAATGCAATAGCAGGCTTGATTTTAATGCTTACAAAAGAAGTAGTTTTAAAAGGAACCATGTTGAATTTTTCAGGACCTGACGTCCCCTAGAAGGAAACTAACAACTCCAGGTTGCATACGCTTGGCCATGCAACTTGCTTAGAAATTAGTGGGAAGGATTTTTCTTTTATTTCTTCCTTTAGCAACCTAAACTGCCTTCACAGTTTATGGTAAATAACAGAAAGAGAATTCTTCAACAGAACAAGATAACAACAGGATATCTATCAAGAACTTAAGAAAGGAAATCAAGCTTCTCCACCAACAATACCTTAGCCACATACTTAGTATCATCTCCCCTTTTCTTAACTTTAACCTGCAACCGGACATAGGGACAAAAAAAAAAATAAAAACATGCAAAATAGTAAATAAAAATGTGTTGACATCAATACATTGTAGCTACAATTATGTAGCAAAAGATAAGTAGTATCTTGGAAATATCGAATTAAAAGGATGCTAAGACCAGCATTGAAAACAAGAAGGTAACGATAACATACCACTTATAGATTTTTTTTAATTTTTTTTAATTTTTTGAGAAATTTCATGTTAGAGGAAAGCATGTAAAAAAAGAGAAGATGACACGCATCCTTTCTCAATTAAAAATAAATAAATGAAAAGCTTAAATGGGGAAATAAATATTATCGCATATATGGAGGCCCAATTGTCTCAGTACATTACCTGAGTATCATGTTCTACACAATGTGCATTTGTCAAGAGTTTACCATCACCAATCATAAAAGCGCTGCATAACAGAGAAAAGGGAAAGGAAAAAAAAAAAACTAAGTCAACAAAAAGCTCAATAATTGGTTGGTAACATTAACTGGACAATATAAATGATATGCCCCAAGACTGAATGTGTGAAACTGAAATTCAACATATTCCAAGTTTAGTACACACCTCCCAGTACTTGTATACTGCCTTTGTTTCTGCCATGGTAGAGAATAATCTGGAGCAGTATGGGTACAATACACCTAAACAATAAATCAGAGAAGCAAGAAGAAAATCTCATGAATTAGTGTACGGTATTCAGTACGTCTGGAAAAGTGAGATCAAGAGGGATAATGTGATATGCATTTCAGCAAAATTGAGAACCAGCTCATACAATCTGCAAATATCTCAGGCATCATCTTCAGCTTTTGTACATTGTTTCTTTCTTTTCCTTTTAAACGACAATATTTATGTATTGAAGTAAAAGAAAAGAACCCCATCTCTAGCCAATACCATTTCTTGAAGTACAAAAAGGCACAAAGGTATTGGTGCCTTGAAACTTGTAAATGACTTTTATCACTTGATCTATAACATTTTTCACTGTATCACTATGCAAAGAGGTAATCCAATAGAATCCGACTTGATATGAGGAAGTTGAGTAATTTTGGCTAGTCCTGATAGATCATGTAGGATAAGTAAAAAATAATTGAATCCTAAAAGGAAATAACTAATCATAATTCCAACAGTGACTTGTTTATTAGAGAAGTCAATCAAACTTCACATGCAGATGAATGCAGAAACTTGAAGGTAATTGTAAAATGGAAATGATACCCAGTCACTGTTATTGCTTGAGGCAGTTGATCTGAATAGTAAGCTTAAGCTTTTAGTTTATATTACCTTCACAACAGCATTGAGGAAAGCAGCATCTTGGAGATTCCCTGGTTCACCCTGACAATTCCAAGCATCCACAGGATTTGAGATGTTAGAAATAAATCCTTTGGAGTAATCCTAACTTTAGTTTAAGAATAGAAGTCATGATCACTTGCAGAAATGCTAAAATAATCATGGAAAAGGGTAATTTTCACTCTCTCTTATGAAGATAGAAACATAAAATCGAATCCTAATTGAATAATTTGATGAAGTTATTGATCTATTTCTATTAGCATCAAAATACAAGTCAAACACCAAGTGCCACAGCCACTGATCATACCTTATCCTCGACTGCATTAACCAACTCCTTTCTATCCTTCCCCTGCATGCCAAATGATTTATAAGCTGCTGTCTGCAGTCGGCCTGGATTTCTTTGAGGATTATTTTCACTCTGACGTAGCAGTGAAATGCCATCTTTTGATTTTCGAAGAAATGGATCACGTAGAGCAGATTCCCCCTTCAGTTGGTGACCCACATTTACCAAAAATATGTTAGAAGAGGGATGCAATAAAAATAGTAAATGACTTGTTTCCATCCGATGGTCTCCCCAGTCAGTTAACATTAAACAAATGAATCTGTTCACTTAATATTCAATCAAGTCGGCACTGAAGCGGATACAACAAAAAGCATCAGGCCTTCAATACTTCAACGAATAATGAAAGAAAGCTATGACTACGTGACATATTCCTGCAACAAATGGGAACAAGATAGACACGATGACCAAGTTTTTAAATGTTTTGAAGACTCCACAACGAGACAACAACACTGCAAGTTCACAAGCTCGACCAAGTCTCGAATCTCTTGATGCACAATGCCTATTTTACAGTTCAATCAACTCAAAGTTCTCCACTAAAGTACAGTAAACATGTCAAAAAGTCAGACTCAGAACAATAACGACACTGAAGTGGATACAGCAAGAAGCATTCAGCCAACAAAATACCTCATCATCGAAGTTGAAAGAAGAAGAGGCGGAAGAGGAGCGACGTTTAGAGCCGGAAGCGATTTTCCGGTCAGCGGTAGCTGTAGAAGTGAGCAAAGCAGTTGATCGGAGTGGCGTTGGCGGGAGGCTACGGGAGGGAAAGGAGGAGCGGAAATTGATGGTGGAACTGAAGACAGAGAAGAAGCTGCTGGCCATCGCTACAGCCATTACTCGGAGCTTGAGAATTAAAGAACTTGGAGGTGATTTATTCCATAGAAATGTTGTCGGAGACGGTGAGTCAGTGCCGGAGAATTTCCTTATCCTTTGAACGAAGATTTTTGGATTAGGTAAATCCCGGCCGAATTTTGGCGCCTCGCTGACTGGTTTTGACCCAACAATTGGGCTTCATGGCGATGACTTCGGCCCATTTAAATTTAGCCTTTAGTGTGTTTTTATTTATTTATTTATTTTCAAAATTTAACTTAGTTTTTTAAACACACACACACATATATATAATAAGAAGAACACAACTTAAAAATTCTATCCACACATCTCCATCCCGCCTGCCATCAACTGGTTGGGATCTCGGAGAATCACAGAAAACAGAACGAAAATGGAGTCTCTGATTTTGGTTCCATCTAGTAGGCACGTTTCAATCACTAATTCTTCTGCGTTTTCCTCCGATTTTTCGGTTCAATTCACTTCTAGAAAGCGCGGCATGAACTTCCGAGCTTCTTCTCCGCAGATTCTCCCTTGCAATGTCTTTCTGGAGCGATTAACTCCGAGGTCTTATATTCGGTACGGGCCACCGTATGGTGATCAAGATGACGATCCTGAAGAGCAGGTTGAAAGCCTCAGGGTTCCTGATGCTTGGTCGGTCCCTTCCAAGGCATTAGAGGTATTGCTTTCCGGTCTTATTGATTTTTTGTTTGGTTAGGTTCGTTTGGAACTTCGTTTTGCAATCTTGAATGTGTTGATTAGCTTTGTTCGTAATAATGGCGCATTTTCGATGTTTAGAACTGGTGACTGTGGTGTGATGACATTGTTATCCATGTGATATTTTAGCAGAAATTTGACATTCTCCTCTAGAATTTGTGTTGCTAAGAATTTCGGTCGGGTGAGTAATGTTCTCCCACAGTCTCGGGCAATGGCTTATTATCCAAGCCATGGAGCTAGTCTGTTAGTGAAGATATCGGAGTTGGTTTTAAAACTAGCCCGAATTTGATGGCTATATCTATTATGCCATAGAATGAATCTTCAAGCCATGGAGCTAGTCTGCTAGTCAATTAGTGTACCAAGGAGAGGTTTTCATACCTTTATAAAGAATGTTTCATTCTCCTCTCCAACCGACGTAGGATCTCATAGTCCACCCTCTTTGGAGCCCGGTGTTCTCGTTGACACTCGTTCCCTTCTCCAATTGATGTGGGACCCCACCAATCCACTCCCCTTCAGAACTCAGTCTCCTCGCAGGTGATGACCTAGTGTTTGGCTCTAATACCATTTGTAACAGCCTAACTCATCGCTAGCCGATATTGTCTTATTTAAGATTTTCCTTATGGGTTTCCCCTCAAAGTTTTTAAACACGTCTGCTAGAGAGTTTTCCACACCCGATATGTCGGGTTCTCACAAAATGGTTCTACGCTTGAACTTAAATGGATTTTGATTTGTGAGCTGGAAAGATTTTCCAAGTTAGTATCAATTATATTAGGCTGTCAAGGATACCACTATTTTACACTTGTTTTCATGATCTAAGACAATTCTTTATCATTCTTCTCCAATTGTTATTGCAAATGGGATTGGAAATCCTTGAAATCTACTTGGTTTTTCAATTTTTTCACTTCAGAATTAAATCTAGTCTGTGTAATTACCTTCTGGAAGTTCTGCCCAATGCTTTAGTTCTTCAATCTTGCAGAAAACATGTAGCAAGAAGTTTGAGAGATCGGATTTACTGCCTTACTTAGCTCTTTTCAATAATCTTTCAGATCTTTCCTTTATGAATAATCTGTTTCGGTATTTTTCAGGAATCAGAATGGCTTAGGGTTACCCTGCACAAATGGCTGGACGAAGAGTACTGTCCAGAGGAAACTAATGTAGAGATAAGCAAAGTTGCTGCAAAATCATACTACAATTCTTTGTTAGAGAAGAGGACAGAGCTAGCCGATATTTTGTTGAATATGGCAAGAGAATTGGAATCTATTTCATATAAGGAAAGTTTTCATGGTGCATTCTCTTCTGCCAATGCAGCAGTGAACTTAATTGCTCAAAGAATAGAGTTGTCTTGACTGTTTCATCCACATTTTTTCAAAGTAACTTGCTAATTTGTCTCTGACTTTTCTTTCTTATGAGTAGCTAATCTGTTGTCAGATCAGATCTATATTTATGGCCAAACAATTCTTGTATTACTCTTTGTTCTTCAATGTCAAAGCAACTTTCTATGACTGAGAATGGATGTTCCTAAACCAGATCCTGCAAGTTTGGCTCGAAGACCTCAACTCTTGTCTTGAAAAAGGTATAGCACTTTCAGAAATGCTTTCAACTGGTGGTGGCTGGAAGGCAAAGCTAGAATTTGTTAGAGAAGTGCTATTAGCTAGGGTATCTATTAGTCGTTCAAAGATACTCGTGTACACTTTTCAAGTCTTTTGGCTAAAAAGTACAATATATGACTTCGATCTTTTCTAGACGTGAGAGTAGAATTGAATCTCTAATCTTTTAATTGAAGATATCTTGCCTTAACCAATTATGGTTCATCGAAAGTAGGCAGATTGGATTGGATTTCTAGATAGGAGGTTTTTCTTAACCCTCCTAGATGGAAGATCTCTCTTCCCTCTGGCCTTTGGTTGTATTCCATTCTTTCTTTATTGAAAGTTCGTTTCTTATACATGTACAAAACTTCGGTTATGAAATAATACAAATAAAGACAGAAAATAAAGAACAAGTGCTGTTAGAGCTAGCATGTCAAACCTACACGCTACTTGTGCAAGTTTGGAGTAGGAACAATAAGGCCGTTATGTTCATTACTAAACTTGTCGTAGAGATGATATAGGCATGAATGGAAATAAAAAAAATCTCCCAGATAAGCTTTGAAGACCTGCCAACGCTCATAAAAACCCAAGCCGGTCCTAACTAGAAAAAAGGAAGACAAATGGAAGGCAATATGATTCAACCTCAAATCTATATTCTTCTCATGCAAGATTGAAGTGAATCATTGGAAGAAAAAGGGAAGGCAATATGAGCTTAACAATTCAATATGAGCAGGCATCCACATATTTACTCATTGTACAACCAAATATCAAAATCTAAGCTTGATCCAGGCACCTTTCACATTCTCTAGTCGCCGTAAGCTTGATGTGTATGCATGTAAAATAAAGAGTGAAAATTTGAACTCCTAAGGTTAAAGTAGCAAGGCATCAACCACCAAAATTATTCTCTTTGCTCACTTACTAAAATATCTTCTCTACATTAAACCTCCAGGCTTCAAACTTCTTTTCAGGCATTTTAAGAACAATTGTCTCAGTTTGAATTAGAAGAGCTTTGGATATCATACACAAACAGCACAACAATAAGAAGCTTTAAGGGTTAGACTCGGAAGGTTGAGCCATAGTGGTGAAACTATCATACCCACCGCTTCCTGGTGCTGCTGGATTTGCTTGATACGTTGGCGGAGCAGTCAATGGAGCACCATTGGTTGAAGATGGTTGCTGTGTGCTCCCTGGAATTGGCGCTGGGGGAGGTGGCCTGGATGGAACATTCACCTGGCCAGGCATAAGAGCTCCAGGCGGGGCCATCATAGGCGGCATTGTAGGATTAGGTAGATATCCTACATTGACAAAGGAGGAGAGGAGTTCAACCAATACCTACTGCATTCGTTATATCCAATTCAATATAGTAATGACTAGGAGAGCAAACCAAAATGAATGAACCAACATCAGTGACCGTCATGAGTCCATTTGGTTGATTTGGTTTACTTTTAGGATAAAACCGAAAAGCAGTCCTTCTGTATGGTTTTGTTTTAGAAAATTGAGGTTTTAGAAAACCAAGATGTTGAATTAGTGTTGGTTTCGGGCAAGAACCAATCCACTTGCACCCCCAGTAATGACATATAGATTTTGAGGAATGGTTGAATCAAGCAGCCTCAAGAAGCAGCAAGAAAATCTACATTGCTCTCATCATTTTCCAGTTCTACAGGTCATATTATAATGAAATCCTCATATATTGACTGTTGGAAGGAAAGAAATAAAAATCATTTCTGTACCAACAGAAATAATTTTAAGGCTAAATTATTAAAATCAAAAAAGACCGCTGAAATTTGCCAATGGGTTAAAAAATATTCATATTCTTTCCAAAGTTGCAATATTACCAATGTTTCAAAACAACATTTAGAGTAGAAATTCATTAAAATGTTAGACAAAAAACTGATATGGTGATGGCCTAGATTGATACCATGACTAGGACGCTTGCCTAGATTAGTCTAAAAGAACAACATTTCGACACATTGACTTTTGGACCAACATTTCAACGAATTTTCTAATCTAAAGATAGTATTGAAACATTTATGAAAGATCAAGAGTAATAATGCAATTTTTAAAACAATGAGGTATATTTCAAACATGGAGCAAAGTTCCATATTATTTTTATAATTTAGCCAAATTTTAAAGATCTCAAATTCGACTTTGGAATTTATTTATCAGGTCTAAGAATTATCTCCACTATTCAAGCTGTATAATACTTTGACTATTAGATTTTACTTATCAAAGTGGATAATAAGGTGGATTTAGTATAAAATGCAAATTGTTAAACAACACTCAAAGACTAAGGGATATGCATTAAAAAAAAAAAAAAAAAAAATCTCAGAAGTGTGAACTTTACCTGGAGCACCAGGTACTGGTCTTGGAAAAACTGGAGGCCTAATTCCAGGCATTAATCCCGGGGCACCTCCTGGCATTACAGGAGTAGGTAGTACAGGAAGACGAGGTCTTTGACCGAGTAAATGCTGATTATAGGCTGCACCAACCTGCTGGAATGCTGCTGCTTGACCGAGATGTTCTTTGATCCTCTGGTCAATTAAACTTTGGGTTTGTTGCTCCTCAAATTGCTGATAGTATGATCGCACATTTGCCTGGAGTGCATCAATAAATCAGGAACTAAAATCTGTTGTCCCCCCCCTAAAAACACCCTCTTTTTATTTTATTTTTTTTATTTTTAATTTCTTTTGGATGGATGAATGGAAACATATTTCAGTACTTCCACATTCTTTAAACTTTATCCTTTTATTTAGAGATGTAGAAGTTACAATTACAATACACATAAAGATGCTAATCATAATCAAAGCAAACTCTAAGAAACAATAAAATCTTACCTCTTAACTTTACACATTTACAAGTTTCTAACCAACCAAGTTCTTTTAACTTCTAAGTCGGGAAGTGGCTTTGTTTTCTAAAACCATAAACCTTCTATAAAATTCAATTTCTTAACTGGCCTGAAGAGTTCAACCTCAGAATAAGGAATACTATGCTAAATTGAGACGTGGGTAAGATTAAGATACCTTATGTTTGTAGCCTGCATTGTGCTGCTTCCTCACAGATGGCTGAGATACCATAAAAACAAATTATGAACAATATAAGACATTAATAAGTCCACACACACCCCCCCAAAAAAAAAAAAAACAAAACTCGAACAGCAAAAGCTAAGGAACTAAATACTACTGTGTCTAGAACATAAGAATCAAGTACAACTGAAATAAACCATTAAAGATTGCACAAACCATCTTAGTTTGAAAGGAGCCCTAATATTGTAGCTTCTCATTAAAACACACACATATAAACACAAATCAATCTGCATATACTCAGCAACATGAACACTGAATTCCATGCTTCATAAATATATATATACACACACAAACTACAAACAGTCAATTGCATCCATCGAGAACAAATATAAGAATTCGATCCAATCCCAACACCAGTCACAGCCATATCAATCCAAAATTTCCTACAATTCTTTCGAGGAACTAATTAACCAAAAACATTCCTCGTCATAAAGAAAGGGAACTGCAGCATCAACAAAGAACCCACCCCCTCCCCCCAACAAAAAAAAAAAAAAAAAGGAAAAAAGTGGACAATGATCAAACGAAAATGAAATCACATTTTCATATGAATATTAGAAGAAGACTTACAGAATCATGTGTCAGATATGTATCACAATAGTCACAATAATACCTGCGCGTAAACAAGAAGATCAAATCATAAACTGTAGAGAGAAATGGAGGGAGAAGTAAATTTGATTGAGGGATGAAACGGTGAGACTTAGCATAAAATGGAAATGGAAGAACGAACCGAGGCATAGCGCTAGCTCAAAGAAGAAGCAACAATGGCAGACCCACCAAAAACCCTATCAGCGACTCTGCGACTCTGAGAGAGAAGCTTCTGGTCTTTTTTGCGAACGAAGAATTGACTCGATTTCCGATCTTATTTTTAATCAACCATCCGAACCGATCGGTTCGGTTCCCCATGTGAGTTTACTTAACCCGGTCTGGTCAGTGTCATCGGTCGATCTTTTTTAGAATGACTCGTTTAATTATATTATTTTTTTACTCCAAACTTTCAATTTTATTAAATTTAAATATTGATTTTAATTAAATTTTAAAAAATATTTTATAACTTTTATCTTTTGTTACGTTTTTATTTGAAAAAATTATATATATATATATATATATTCTATGAAATGGATACAACAAACCCTAAACCAGCTCTTTTACCATTTTTATAACTGTCTGAGCTTATCACAAGCAGATATTGTCCGCTTTAATCTATTATGTATCGTTGTTGGTCTCACAATTTTAAAATAATATCTACTAGGAAGAGGTGAAAGTGCTTCGATCCCCTCTTCAATTAATGTAGGATCTCATGATCCACCTTCCTTGGGCCCAGCATCATCATTGACACGTTGCCTAGTGTCGGTCTTTGATACCATTTCTCGATTTTCTCGATATTTTCTTCAATTTTCATTGTATCATTCCAATTTTATCAGATGTCCCTCGATTTGATTGAGTGTTGAACTTAAAATAAAATCAATAAAAGAAATTACCATTATAAATTATTATTTTATTTTGTCTAGTTCTTGTAATCCCGAAGAAAGAACAGAGGCTGAAACGGTTAATAGAGGCAACCCGTCCCCTATATAAATGTCGGGGCATCTTACGATTTCCCTCTCAATAGGGAAGAAAAAAGAAAGGGAATATGGTTGACGAATCTTCTTCCCAAGAATCCGCCATTTCAGGTTCTCTGCTGTTTCTTCCATCTCTTATTAGCATTGATCCATTTGAATCATTCTTTTTCTGGATGAGGAGAAAAGCAATGGCGTATTTCTCGATTCCCCTTCCCACTATTGACCCGCAAAATTCTGCTTATGTTTTTTGTTTACTGTAGCCGAGCGAGCTGATGTTTTGTTGATTTCCGAGAAATTTTGGAGTGATTTTTGTTTCTCGAATTGTGTTCAGGAGTTCTGGCGCGCAATGAGAAGCGGAATTGGGCCGTTTCTCCGTCTGATGTTGGTTATCATTTTGGAACTAGTGGGTTTTCCGTCGCGGTCGCCACCGCTGTTACTCATCCTTTAGGTTCTCTCTCTCTCTC